TACTTTCAAAGAAAAATATATATACCACTACTGGGTAGTTGGTATTAGTGTAACAAAAAAGAATAGACTTGTACTTTCAAAGAAAAATATATATACCACTACTGGGTAGTTGGTATTAGTGTAACAAAAAAGAAGAGACTTGTACTTTCAAAGAAAAAAAAAAAAGAAGAAAATACTTTCAAAGAAAAATATATATACCACTACTGGGTAGTTGGTATTAGTGTAACAAAAAAGAATAGACTTGTACTTTCAAAGAAAAATATATATACCACTACTGGGTAGTTGGTATTAGTGTAATAAAAAAGAAGAGACTTGTACTTTCAAAGAAAAATATATATACCACTACTGGGTAGTTGGTATTGGTGTAATAAAAAAGAAGGGACTTGAGAGTCAAGACTAGAACCGGTAATATAGATTACCATACGATGATAAGATTAAAAAATGACACGAATTTTATGGGTAATGGTTGAGAAAAAAAAGGTTTGAGTCAGAATAGGGTCGACTTAAAATTAACATGAAAAACACGGGTCAATTTCGGGTTAGACCCGCTTAATTCGAACACGACACGAAACTCGTAAAAAATTAAAAAATACATATATTTTTCATTTCATATTTTAAATTTTATTATGAACTTGTGATATCATGTAGTTATACTCAAAATCTTATACTATTATTTGCTTAATTTCAATGGATGTTATTGTAATTTAGTGTGTTATGAATTTTAAGTTATTTTTAATATGTGAAAAATTAAATAGAAGTATACAATTTTCACGTCAATTTCGGGATCACGGGTCAATTTCGTGTCACGGGTCATTTTCAGGTCGTGTCGTGTCAACTCGTAAAGTGGTCGTGTCGTGTTCGTGTTGCGGTTTTTAAAAAATTTCGTGTCACGGGTCGTGTTCAGGTTGACCGTAAATTTAAAAGGAAACGATCAAAACACGACACGTGATACGAATTGCCACCCTTAGTCAAGATAGTAGGAGACAGAGCAAGTAAGTGAAAAAGAAATTCGTTCATTTTATTAATTTAAGTTTAATTACAATAAATTTTTTTTTAAAATAATCATATTTAAAATTTTTATTATAATAAAAAATTTTAACATAAAATTATATTTTAACTTAAATTAAAAACTGAAAATTGACAAATTAAATGAGTCCTATATACTATATACTACTACTGGGTAGTTGGTATTAGTAGACTCGCAATAAAAGAAACAAAAGAAGGTTACGTAATGGGGACAAACCAATAATTTAAAACGATAAAATGAAAAAGAAAAAGGTCAAAAGGAAATAAAAGTGGGCGACCAAAGTTAAGAAGCCGAAGTAGTAAAAGTAGTTTCTTGCAATCTTTCAAACAAGAAAAAAGCAAAGAAAATCCTCGCGAATATTTTTTTTTTGGCATATTAGTAAGTGGTGTGCATGTGTAGGGAAGCTTGTATACATATCGTGCATATATTAATATATTACCAAGCAAATGTTTCTGTCCGATGACGTGTAAAATACGTTGTGATTAAAATTTAATTTAGGTGATAATTTCGTTACGAAAGTGCAACAAGAAATTAAATTTTATTTTCAAATACGAGTTATATTTTTAAAATTAATGTTAATTCTTAAAAATAATATATTATATTATGGCCGTGGGCGCGTGTGAGGACCAAAGCGAAAAAACAGTGTGTATAAATATATAATAGAGGAAAATGTTTATCACTACAGAAAGAAAGAGAGGGCAAAAACAGAAACAACCAGAGTGTGGAGGAGAGAGAGAGAGAGAGCCGTGGACAGATTGCAGAGGTTTCGCAGAGAGCTCTGTCTGTCTACGCCCTTCAAGCGTTATTATTCTCTCTCTCTTTCTCTCCTATTTTCTCTGCCCTTTTTTGGTTCATTGCCATAATTATCACAGTTCCAGAGAATTCGAAGAAGAAGAAGAGGAGGAGAGAGAAAGAGAAGGAAAAACAGAGATGGGAGGAGAAGGAAGAGGAGCTTCGGCGAGGTTAAGGAAAGCCGCGAGGAACATGATTTTAGCAGCTGCCAATGCTTGTGGTTCTTTCTCCAGAAGAAAATCTCTCGTAGATCCCATGGTTTTCGACCACTCAAACTCCGATTCTGTTAGTTCTTCTGATTCCGACATTTCTTTTCCCATTTTTTTTTTATCTTTTTATGAAGGGGATTAATGTGTATATATATATATTGTTGATGTGTGATTACAGATCTCGGGTTCTTCTGCTGTATCGCCCAGAAAGATGAGGATTATGTGTGAAGAAGAGGAAGAAGAAGAAGAAGAAGAAGAAGAAGATGCTGGTGAGGAATTTGAGTCGTCGAGTATTAGTACTACTGCTTTGCCTACTGCCAAGGTAGCACCCAATCCACAAGTCATTCCTCAACAAAATGACTTCTTTTCCCTATTTCTGTTCTATCTAAATAAAAAAGAAGATTCCTAAACCCCCGTGAATAACTGACAAATATATATGTATATAAATATATATATATATATTAAAAAAAGAACAAAAGCGACATAAAATGACTTAAAATTTGGAAAATTTTCCTCCTGTTACAGAAGTTCATTTCTTTTGAGCAAAATTTGAAGCTTTGGCAGCCGTATATTTTGACTATTCTTTGGTGTCACCGAAATTGGATTTTTTTTTTTTTTTTTTTTGAAATCCAATTGTTCTCTGGAGCTGATTTGAGAGCTCCTCCAATACCAATCGTTTCACGCAAATGTCTGTCCACAGCTCTCTCAAGTCAATTCAAGCTTCAAATCTTCTAAATTGAAAGAAGAAAAAAAAAAAGTTGGGTTGAAATTGAATAAATTGGAAAAGGAGAAATTTGAGTCTTTTCACGCAGAGGGAGTAGAATTTTAAAGTTGGGGGAGTAATAATAGCAGGTGGGGAGTAAATGAATAATGGACAATACAAAAGTGTTAGGCATGTGAACGCCCCTGACACATGTGCACTACTGAAGCTTGGGAATCCACTGTTATATGCAGAGCCCACGCTAATAAAACTTTCTTTTCTTTCCTTCCATACCTGCCAATAACACTCTGACACATGTGCACTACTGAAGCTTGGGAATCCACTGTTATATGCAGAGCCCGCGCTAATAAAACTTTCTTTTCTTTCCTTCCATACCTGCCAATAACACTCTCAATTATTTTTGTTTTTGACCATAAACGTTATTCAATCTGAATCACAAGTTCTATCTAATTCTGTGACACTCCCCTTTTGCTTTCTTCATTTTCACATTCTACTATGTTAGTAATCGCATCATTATGATAATGATTTTTCTTTTTCTTTCTCTTTTCTTTTCTTTTGTTTTTTTTTCAAACGTTATCTTATAATGATTGAATAAATGGTGAAAATTGGAGAGCAGTAGTACCTAACATTTGTGCACATGACCTCCTAACTAAGCTTCAGTGTTTGTCAATGTCAAAAAGTATGGTGTAGAATATGGCTGGCATGTGTTTGGTGAAGGTTGATATTAAGTTGTCAAAGCGTGTTTTCTGTTGCTTTTTCTCCGAAGTGAAAAATAAAAAAGAGAAGCAAAACAATGATATAATGCCAAAAAACCAATTATTGAGTAAGTACTTGGTTGTTGCACCAGAACACCTTCCATCACTTCGTTTTACAGTTAATTAATTGTACACATTGCCAAAGTACTTGGTCGTTGCACCAGAACACTTTCCATCACTTCGTCATACAGTTAATTGATTATACACATTGCCAAAATCAAACCTTTTAGTTCTGCTATGTGAAGTTTCCTTTTCCATTTCAGAAGATTGCCATCAAAATTCGAAACACAAGGTTTAAACACCACCGATCAGATTATTTGAGTCCTGGTTTGTAATAGACCATACATCAGAATGAGCATGACTTATCATCTCTTTCATAGACCAGAAACGTCATTGACATCTTCTCAACATGAAATCTCTCATCCATCTTATTAGACATTTCATACTTATTTTTTTTACTTGAAAAATGCTAGGTGTTATTAAGGTGATATTTCAATCAGTCATAAATTGTCAAATAAAATTGTATGAATCCCTGTTATCACCACTGAACATGTTCATAGTAATTAGTTACTACAGTGTTGAACAAAAGTTTTCAGTCCGTGTCTATAATATTACATACATCAGAATATGAAACTCTCATTTTAGGCTTTTGACATTAAGTTGATATTTCAACTAGTTGTAAATTGTCACATAAAATCACGTGAATTCCTATAATAAACTTGCTATAATTATGTTCTTATGTTGTTGGTCCATGTGACAGAACCTGTGTGCAATATGCCTAGACCCTCTTAGCTACAACAGCAGGGGAGGTAGCCCAAGCCAGGCCATATTCACAGCGCAGTGCTCCCACGCCTTCCACTTCGCCTGCATCTCCTCCAACGTTCGCCACGGCAGCGTCACCTGCCCCATCTGCCGTGCCCACTGGACGCAGCTCCCCCGCAACCTCAACCCGCCGTGCGGCTCCCTCTCCTCATGCAACCAAAACGATCCTATTCTCCGAATCCTCGACGATTCCATCGCCACTTTCCGCATCCACCGCCGCTCCTTCCTCCGCTCCGCCCGCTACGACGACGACGACCCCATTGAGCCCGACGACATGCCCAATTGCCCACGTCTCCACCTCTCTCTAGTCCCCGTCCCAACCACTTCACCAACAACAAATTTCCAACCATATCCTTATCATCAAAACTTGCACGCACACCCTCCAATCTGTGGCTCATCCTCATTTCTCCAGTCACCAAGCAGACAATTGTCTTACGTAATGTGCACGTCCTCAAACAAAGGATATCTGTCAGTGAAACTAGCAAACCAACGAGCTACAGACTTGGTCCTTGTTGCGAGCCCAAATGGACCACATCTTAGACTTCTCAAGCAATGCATGGCCTTGGTGGTCTTCTCACTTAGACCTATCGACCGTTTGGCCATTGTTACGTATTCCTCGGCTGCAGCTCGTGTCTTTCCTCTAAGACGCATGACATCTTATGGTAAACGAACGGCTTTACAGGTTATAGATCGTCTTTTCTACATGGGACAAGCTGATCCCGTTGAAGGGCTCAAGAAAGGGATAAAGATACTTCAAGACCGAGCTCACAAGAACCCGGATTCGAGCATCTTGCATCTCTCCGACAGCCCGACGCAATCCTACCACGCTGCGATGGACGTGGAGATTCCGATCCCGGTCCACCGGTTTCACGTCGGTTTCGGGTTCGGGATCGGGACCTCCAACGGCTTCATCATGCACGAATTTGAAGAGTTCTTGGCGGGACTTCTTGGCGGGGTGATCAGAGATATCCAGTTGAGAATAAGAGTGGGAGAGGAATCGAGCTGTAGTAGGATTGTGAGGATTGGAGAGCTGAGAGGCGACGAAGAGAGGAGGATTTTGTTGGACTTGGGAGAGAGTGGACATGCTTGTGTGGAATATAGCTATTGTGAGGACGTGGGTGAAGTTGATGAGAGATTCATAACAGGGGAAACTTTGGTGAGTTTGGGAGATAGTAAGAGTACTAATGCGGCGGAAGCGAGTGCAGGGCCGGCCGTGGCGGAGGCGGGGGCCACCGGTGGTGGTGGGAGGAGGGATGCGATTGGTGGTGGTAGGCCAAGTAGTGTGGAAAGTTGGGATTACCATGATCCTTACATGGCTAGAAGATGGGCTAAGCATTTGCATGGCTATAGGATTTGAAAGCAAAAATATCCAAGAAAAAAAGAAAAAGTCCAACCGATTGTTTTTACTCCTTTCGTGGATTTGTACATGTAGAACCAACATTGCGAGTCTTCATTGATGTACTTGTAGCTTTTTACATTGCTGCTAGCTCAAACAGCTTTCAAAAGGGATTAAAGTAGAAAATTGTTGAATATACTCGTACTTAATTACTTCAAAGTTCGAATCTTGTGATTGTTGTTAGTATCAAGAAGTATTGGAAATACGGTACTTCAAACGCTTGAGAAACAAAAAATGAGTTGAGAATTTCTAGTAAACAAGTTGGCCGTCTCATATCTTATGGCATAAGAGGCTTTAAGAGCATTTTTCTCTTCAAATGAGTGGATTTCAGTAGAAGGCCCAAGGAGATTTTTTTTAATCAGATTAAAATAGCGAAAATAAGCCAATATGAAAAGTTTAAGGAAGTACATAGGTCAACTTTTAATTATAAAAATTAATATGTCATAATTTATCAAATTATGGTTCATAACCAGATAAGTTATGGACAAACTTGTCAAGTTATGGTTCATAGCCAGACAAGTTATGGATAAAAATCGTGATTTATAGACAATAACTTGTCAAGTTATGGTTCATAACCAGACAAGTGATGGACGAAAATAGTAATTTAGCCTGTTTATCAATTTATGTAAACTATTGATCTATTAATTTTAATTCATCTCAAGTTTTGATCTATTTTCCTCCTTCTCTTTTAAAATAGTAATTTAGAAACCAAGTTGAATATCATCTGTTATGGCCAACACAAGTGATAATTTTTCATTGTCGTTTTTCTCTTGATGACCTAAAACGTAGTAAAGACGAAATGCTTCTCCGCTCGTGACTGATAACCCGACCCAAAGCCCATGAGCCCCTAAACTGGATGTTATTCTCAGCTGGGTGGGGAACTTGGGAGTTCGATGAATAAACTTTGGCAAATGCACATCGCAGAACGACGAACGTACAGTAGATTGCGCAACAAACCATTCAAACCAACCAAATCAAACCGAATCAAAAGAAAATTAAATCAAATCAATTAATAATTGATTTGGTTTGATTTAAATTTTTCAAAAACCAATTAAATTAGTTTAGTTTGAAATTTTATCTTTAAAAAAACTTAGTCAAACCAAATCAATTTCTATTTGTATAATTTTTCTAAAATTATATGTGTTCTATATATTTATAGTTTATTTATATTTAAAAAATACTGTCTCCGCAGTTTACCCTTAAGCTCTTTCATCTTTTCTCCTCTCATTCTCCACTCCTCTAAGTTACGATCATAATTCTCTCTAAAACCTTACTTCTTTATTAACGTGAATATATATTTTTTTAATAATAATTGTCTCTAATTTATCTATAGTTATTTTCTTTCATATATATAAAAAAAATTGAATATCATATTTAATTATGCGCCACAACTAATATTATATAAATATATATACAATTTTATTGCTTTGACTTTATTGTGTCTTTAGAAGAAAGAGAGAAAGAGACAAAAGAGAACACAAAATATTAGTACCAACTATATGGTTGAGACTTGAGAAGAAGTGGTAAAATACTAGTTCAAACCAATTAGAAAACCAAACCAAATCAATTACAATACGTTTAATTTGGATTGGATTAGATCCCGTAATTGGTTTGGTTTGCATTTCACATAAAATAAACGATTTGGTTTGTTTGCACACCCCTATGGTACATGCCTTAGGCCTCGTTTGTCTTACTCGTTTGAGTTGAAACTTTAAACTCAAAAAGTGAATTTATGTAAGTGAAAGCATTGCAGCAACAAATTAAATTAGGTAGTTTTTAAAAATATCTCTTGAAATGAAGCTATCTTTTATTTCTACCCGTTAACATTAGTCCATATATTTTTACTTTTTAGACTAAAATTAATCAAGAAAAAACATCATAACAAAAACTGGAGTTGTGATTCGACCTAAGGAAGCAAGCGAAACTTTATGTACTAGGTAGTATCTTTTTGTAATAATTAGATTCTCTCAAAATCACATAAATAATTAATTTCTTATATAAATCTAATGATAAAAAAAACTTTCGATAGTTCATTTTTCCTTAACATAAAAATCTTTAGGGGTGTTCACGCGTCAGATTATACATATTAATGGTCAATCCGTTAAACTCCTAATCTAATCCGATCCGGTCTGAATTTTGACGATTGACAGATTGACCTATATTTTTGATATTCTCATAAGATTAAATACAAAATTAAACACAAACATAACATACGATAAAATTTAAATAGTTCCACATTCATTACAATACAACATCTAACATATAATTAAAAAATTTGACACAAAATCAAACATAAAACTTAAGTCTTTGATAATAATTTAAAAGTAGAAATCAAATCCATCATAACAAACAAGCTTAACTAAGTAAAGTCTTCATCACCAACATTACTTAGCTTGAATAAATATAGTCTTCATCACCAACATTACTTAGCTTGAATAAGTATAGTCTTCAGCACCAACATGCCCGACAATATGGGTCACGACATGACAACACAACTCTAAAACGACACGAATTTTACGGGTTAGGGTTGAGAAAAAAGAGGTTCGGGTTAGAATTGGGTTGACCTGAAATTGACACGAAAAACCCGGATCAATTTCAGGTTGGACCCGCATAACCTGAACACAACACAAAACTCGTAAAAAATTAAAAAATACATATGTTTTTATTACATATATTTTGATTTTATTATGAACTTGTGATATCATGATAGCTATACTCAAAATCTTATACTATTATTTGCTTAATTTCAACAGATGTTATTGTATTTTAGTGTGTTATGAATTTTAAGTTATTTCTATTATGTAAAAAACTAAATAAAAGTATACAATTTTCGTGTCAATTTTAGGTTCACGGGTCAATTTCGTGTCACGGGTCATTTTCGTGTCGTGTTGTATCAACCCGTAAAATGGTCGTGTCGTGTTCGTGTTGCAATTTTTTAAAATTTTTGTGTTGCGGGTCGTGTTCAGGTTAACTGCAAATTTAAAAAAAAATAATTAAAACACGACACAAACACAATACGTAATACGAATTACTATCCCTAACTAATATAATTTTAAAATAATTTAACATCCACTGTTTCAGTACTGCTTATGTTCTAATGCTTTACTTGTCTACAAAAAGTGATAAACAACAAACAAAATAGAGCTCATATTCATCCACTGCTTCCTTTTGCTACATAACATTTGGTGTTTCTCCCCAGTCCGATTCATAATATATATATATATATATAGTTATTAGTTAAATATGTAAATATGTAATTAAAAAAATCTTTTATATATATTGTTAAAAATTACATATAGTATATATGCTTTGGGTTGACGGATTATGTAAATTGAAAAATGTTAAATTTGCAATCTAATTCGTAAATATAGATTGGAAAAATCTCAATTTGTAATCAATTTAAATTTTTTTTCAATCTAATCTAATTCGGTAGATTGAATTAAATTATGCGGATTGAACGAATTAACTGATTCTGTGAACACCCCTAAAAATCTTCAACCGTCAAAATATAATAAAAAATAATAATTTTAATAAATACTACTTAAAAATATATGAATCAAAATTTTTACTAATTACTTTTAATTTATAATCTTTTTAGTCGAATAATTTTAATAATAAAAAAAAATATTTATTAAAAATAAAAAATTTAAATTCATCCACCCTTAATTCTTAATTTTTATTTTTTCTTAAAAGAATGAAAAAGAAACCCAAAAAGTCACATGTGACGTTGTTAGTAAAGAGAACAGGCGGGTAAAAATGGTGAGGAGCCGTTGATCTCCAATCCGAAGCCAAACTGGAAGATTAGCGGTCATTACACAAGTCTTATTTATTTTATTAATTTAAGTTTTTAATTATAAATTTTTATAATAAAATTTTTTTTAAAAATATCACATTTAATTTTTTTATTACAATAAAATTTTTTTAAAAATATTACATCTTAATTTAAATTAAAAATTTAAATTTATAAAATAAACAAGTTCTAATCTCTCTCCGTGCCAGTCTCTCTCTCCATAGCAGAGGAAGAACAAGACACACCTCACAAACGACAAATTTCCAAGAAAAAGCGTGCACTGAGCCTACTGCTACTACTACCACTACCCAATCCAGTAGCTGTACGGCCCTTACCTTTCTCACCAAACCCTTTTTTCTTACCATGAATTAAAAAACACAACTTTTTATTTTTTTATGTGAAGCCAGTAAGAGAAAACGACTATATTAATCAAGGGAAGGAAGACCCATAATTGAACTGAACACACTAAAAAAAAAAAAAAAAATCATAGTTGTTTGTTGTTTTTGCTCATTTACAGTGGGTTTTTGGTGTCTCTGATTGGCGGGTTTCTCTCTCCTCGGTTTCTCGGTGCTCAAGAGAGAGAGAGAGAGAGGGAAACATGTTTCCTCGGCTGATTCAAGTTCAAGCGCACGAAGGAATGATGGGTCAGGAGGATATTCAAATCCAAGGGGTTGGACTCGGCGGCCATGGCCATGGCCATGGTCAGAATCTGAGGGGTGACCCATGCCTCGTCTTGACCTCCGATCCCAAGCCCCGCCTCCGCTGGACCGCCGACCTCCACGAGCGATTCGTCGACGCCGTCACTCAGCTCGGCGGTGCTAGTAGTCAGTCTTTTAAATTTTGCATCCCACTCATTAATTAATGGAACTTCAATTATTGACTTTTACCATTTTTGTTTTGTTATTATTATTATTGTTGTTGATTCTTCTTTTCATTCATCGATTTGCCCAAATACATAAATTTTTCTAATTTTTTTCCCTAATTAATGTCCCTCTCCTTCTGGTGTTTTTTCGTTTGTTGCGTAATTTTTTGTTTGAAAATGTTAGATTAGATTGGTGTAGAGTAAGCTAATCCTAATGTAATGACCGTGGTTTATGACTTATCCTCAGGTTTAATTTTTCCGTTTCTTTTCTTATCTGGAAAAAGCTTAAATATCGATTTATAAAAGTGAAAAGGGAAAGAAAATTGATTGCTGGGAGTTACTAGCTAAGATGACAACTGCGTTTCTTTAGAATTTTGTGCTGATCAGTTTAAGTAGCTTCCATTGCACGGAATTCAAAGTTTCTTTGGTTTTTATCATGAGTCAAGGATGCTAGTATCAGTAATTGTCAAGAGTTAAATGAGTTATTAGTTAGAGATTTACTTGGTAAACACGTTTAATACATTCCTCCGTTGTACTCATGAAACCAGTTATGTTTGAGGTCGTTGGACTTGCAATGCTACATTGAAGCCTGTGACATTCAGGATTTTTAAATGTAGAAATCTCGGTTGCGTCCTATTCCAAAATGTGGAATTTAGGCAGTTCTTAGCTAGAGTATGTTGCCTGTGATGTTTTTGTTTTCTGTACATTTTTACCCTCCATGTACGTTGAATAATTTTGTTGTTTAGATATCTATGTAGTGTGTACCGTCCTTTTATATAATGTGGCTTTTTCTATTTGTCCATATACTTTTAGGTTAACTACAATCATGTTAATAAACATGGTATCTTGTCAAATGAGTGTGATCAAGTTGTCCAATGGCTCTTTGATGTAGTCATTATTATTAGTTAGCTGTGGTTGAAAATGCTGCTTCAGTTTAGCGTATTTTGGGCCCGCTTAGCAGAGCTTTTGCTTTTGCTTTTGGTCGGTAGAAGAAAAGTAAAAATTGTGACTTTTCACTAAGTGTTTGGAACCATATTTTTAAGAGTTTAAATGAGTCAAAATGGTATTTTAATTTTTTAATAAGCAATAAAAATCTTAGAATTGAGTTTATACTGTCTTATTTAAACTCTAATATAAGTTACAAAGTCTATTGAGAAGAGCCTTTTGGATAAGCCACATTTTGTGACTTTGATTAGAAGTTCTTCTATAGAGTCAAAGCGCTTCTGATAGAGTGTCCAAACACTTATAGAAGCGACTTTTTCTCAAAAAGCCAAAAACAGCTTCTACAAAGCTCTGCTAAATAGGCACTTAGGCTTGTAGTTAAGTCTAATGGACTTCACTAAGAAGCATCAGCTACTCCCAAGTCCCAACGTATTTATTTATTTATTTTTTAGAGGATCAAAGATGGTTATTTCTTTTTTTTTTTTTTTTTTTTGAGGGGAAAATGATAAAGATGGTTATTTCTAAGTTGCTGATAACCACTGGAATATCCATGCTTGGTATTTTACCTATTAGCACCTAAAAGGGGCATGAATGAATGATATTGCAGAAGCTACGCCAAAGGCCATCATGCGGACGATGAATGTGAAGGGACTGACTCTTTTCCACTTAAAGAGTCACCTCCAGGTTCGTTTTTTGTTTTTGTTGTTTTGCTTTGTTTTGTTTTGTTTTTTGTTTTTTTTAAATAGCTATTATTAAGACCTCCCCAGTTGAACTTCTGGATGGTCAAAAATCAAATTCTTATGGCCATATTGCTGATGAACTACATTTCTTTCCTACATTTCAGAAGTACAGACTAGGCATACAGTCAGGAAAGGATATGGGTGAGGCATCTAAAGATGGTGGGTTTTGTTTTAAGCCGCCAGAGCCCTTGCTACGTCCTGTTATCTATAATATGGTTCTGAAACGTCCATTCTGTTTCAGAAACAACATAGGCAGTCTCTCTTTGTCACCTTCCTTTTTCTGTTTGTTTATGTCCCTCCAACAAAGGAACCATTTAGCTGAGAAAATTTGAACTGTGCCCTAGATATTGATGATTAAAAAAAAAATTCTATTCAATCAGAATTTTGTTGTTTAGACTTTAGACTGACTTTCTGTTGCTAATTTATGCGAGGGATATCAGCTTCATTCCTTTTAGAAAGCCCGAGGGCTGGTAATTCTTCTCCAAATTTGCCAACTTCTGATATGAACGAGTAAGAATACAATTTCTCCTTTGTAGGATTCATTTTGTAATCTGCTCGAATGTCATTATAAATGAATTGTCGAATATGACCAAGTTACATAAGGAAGTGTTCTCATCTATAGGGGTTATGAAGTCAAGGAGGCATTAAGAGCACAAATGGAAGTACAGAGTAAATTACATTTACAAGTTGAGGTAATTTCTTTGCATAACTTTGGGTTTTTTAGTGTTTTCATGAACAGAAAACCCTCAATGATAAGTGGTGGTTGTTGTAACTGGTCAAGAGATTCAGAAATTTCCTTAAATATGAAGATATCTGCCTTTCTACTGACTTTTCTTTGGATGATTACAGAGTTATTATTGTTAAACTTGTTTTTGTTGCAACCTGTGGCTTCTGTAGAATAGAGGTCTACGTCCTTAGTAAAGCCACTTGACTCTCTTTTTTATGCTATTTAGGCCGAGAAGCACTTGCAGATTCGCCAGAGTGCCGAGCAAAGATATATGGCCATGCTTGAGAGAGCTTGTAAGATGCTTGCAGATCAATTTATCGGGGGTTCTGTTATTGACACACACAACCAGAAATATCAAGGATCAGGGACCAAAACACCAATAAGTTCCTACATCGACCCACTTGGCTTCTACTCGTCACAGTCAGTGGAGGTCGCTGGAGTGCATGGCCCAGAAGAAGTGCCAAACGGTCTTTATCCTTTAAGAGCTGACTGCTCCACCGAGAGCTGCCTAACATCACATGAGAGTCCTGGTGGATTGACCCTGGAAGGGTCTCCGGGTGGAGGGAAGAAGAGTGTACTGAGCTTGGAATCGACCGCATCCTTGATTTGGAGCGAAACCAAGGTGAGACCTCAAGAGGTTAATGTGGCTCAAGTTGATCGTCATGGGATTCCTGGGTATGGCATGTAGGTCAAGATCTTCTCCAATGCCTCCTCATCATCAAATAATTTGAGTAAGATCTTCCTTTTCTCTCCAACCATTAGAATGTTCCCAAGTGTAAAAAATTTAGTTTTCTATTGCCTACGAGGTTTTGCAAGACCCGGGAAGTCAGGAACAAGTTGTCCCAAATTGTAAATTCAAATTACTAATGACGTTTAGAAATTTAAGACGGTTTTGCTGCTAAACTTGATAAACCCATATATCTCCAAAGTTGTGAGTGAAATCCCAGTTTGACTTTAACGCAATTTCCTGAAACCATGGTAGTGGTGGTTCAGCAATCAGCATATTGGTGATTGTGCTTAATTGTGTCTTTTCCTAGTCAACTGTTGCACGCATGAGATCCTTGAGTGTCATAGTCTTGCCTAACCAAATCTGTGGCAGCAAAATGATACATCAATGATTTTAAAAAAGGTTTCATTTTGTGCAAGTAAAAAAGTCGAATGTTGAGTATTTTGGTATCACTTCAGAAATGCTGCTATTGGCTACAGAAAGATAATGACTCAATTGCAAGAAGCCAATTTTTGAAAGGGAACTCAGACTGAAAGGTGGCTCTCCTTTGGATGGAGGACCACTTCCAAAATGCGAAAAAACTACTTTACTAATTATACCATCTATTTAACTAATAGCCGGCCTTTATTTGAAGTTATTATATCTAGACATTAATAAATGTTAACCTTCTATTTGTTTTGTTTTTTTGTTTTTTTTGCATTTCTCATTGTTTGATTTTTTGTTTATCCTTGTGTCTGATTAACATGATTCGGAAAGATGGTTATGGATGGGATTTCTTGTCAGATTGTCCAAATTGGTGGAGAAACATTGTTTTGTCCGAATTTGTGTGTATACTTGGCTTGAGCCAAGTGGATAATTGTATTATAGTTCTAAAAAACCTTGTTTAGTATTTGAACTATGACAATAAATAATAATCAAATGAAAGAAAAAGGCACAACAAGTAGGGGAAGTGGACACCTCATGAATTTGGATTTTTCAAATTTTGTAATATAATATAACAAGAAAAGGGGCCTTATAACATTCCAAAAAGTAGACGTAGCTCTCAAAAACAAAGGCAGAGGAAAATGACAAAATTGCCGGAATAATTGATTTTAGAGAGGGAACGGAATATTATTTAGGCAGATTCCGTTGAGGCCGGTTTATATTACGTATGGCGTTTATCACTATCCTCATAGCCAATCACGTAAAAAGTTACTATTTTTTTTTATTAATTTATTTATTTTCCAATAGTGATGATGTACAAATAATGGAGTTGGCCGTGCCTAGAGGTAGAGGTTTTGGACTTGGACTTTTTAGGAGTGCATTGGACCAGCAATTTTATTTTGTTTTATTCCTTTTCCAAAATCATTCCTTCTATAGACCAAAAAAAAAAAAAAAAAAAAAAAACAAAGAAGAATTGATCCTATTTTTATTTTTCACATTTTTTTTTAAAATTTTAAAACAGTAGTTGACACAATAAAAATAAAAAACAGAAATTAAAACGATTTTTTAGTTTAATGTAAAATGAGAGAAGTAAAAAATGATTTTTAATCGTTTTTTATTTTTTATTTTCGTTTTCTCCACTCTCGAGCAGAGAGAGACATTAATGAGTTTTCTAAAAATAATCTCTTGATAAAACTATCAAACGCATTTTTAAAAATGATTCATTAATGAGTTTTCTAAAAATAATCTCTTGATAAAACTACTAAACGCATTTTTAAAAATGATTTATGTCTGAAATTGAAAACGTTTTTATTTTCATTTTCATATAAAAAATAAAATTATTTTAGAACAAGTTCTAAATGCGTCAAAAAAAATCAGTTGGATTTTTCTTGTTTGCATACAGTTTTATTTGAACAAGTTCTAAACGCGTCAAAAAAAATCAGTTGGATTTTTCTTGTTTGCATACAGTTTTATTTATTTATGGGGATTAGGAAGTCTATGTTTCAGTTGTATGTTTGGCAATCCTCCATTGGCTTACAACGGGTTTGGTGAAATTCAACCATGGCTTCATAAATTTTCTATGTGCATAATAAATGCTTTTCTTTTCATGAAGAATTTAATTTTAAAATATATTTGCATGTTTTTGTTCGAAGGCCAGTTTTCATTGTTTGAGAGAAAAGAAAAGGACAAGTGGACAAGATTAAAGAGGAGATTTATTTATTTATTTTTTTCTAGCATGGATTTATATAACGCGTCATAAATTCTTCTTTATCTCATCATCACAAAGCTTGCTCATAATAATAACAATAACAACGAAACTTAACCCTTTTAAGAAACAAATAGAACACTAATAAATAGAGTAACAGGAATTTCATGAAACATATACGTTTCTAAATAGCAGATCATAATATATATGTATATACCAGATCATACTTAATAATTCAGAATTTAAGAATTAAGAATTAAGAATTTTGGTGATTGATGCAAATTTTTCTAATCCTTATTTGTAATTAGCATGAACACACACACCCAATGAAACTAAACTATGCAAACTATGAAGAGGCCCAAAATAATAATAATTTTTTTTTTTTTGCCTTTTTAAATCAATTATTAAAAAGGACAAAAAAAAATTAAAATTGAGGAACCAGTAAGACAGGGTTTTACCTGGTGTGGCTCTTACAATAATACAATTTGAGGCCAACAAGGAGGAGAAGAAGAAGACTGAAGAGGAAAGAAAGGGGGAGTGGGTAGTGGTGTAGAGTAGAATAGACTCCTATAAAAAACTAAAAAGTCCTCTTTTTTTTCTTTTTTCTTTTTTCCTTTGAATGAATGAATATTTAATACCCCTCTCTGCTACTCTGCTTCTACTTGTACGTCTGGAATCTCTCTCTATCTCTTTCTCTCTCCTCTTTTTTCTCATTTGCTTCCAATTTTTTTAGAGAGAGAGAGAGACAGAAAACACGCGTTAAGAGCCAAATTTCTTTGGGTAACTCCATATCCTAAAAAAGACATCTCCTTTTATTATCAATTATCTTAACCGCACGGAGAGCTAGAGAGAGAGAGGGAGAGGGAGAGGGAGAGAGAGAGAGGGAGAAGCAGTGTCCGAAATTGGAGGGCGGGAGGATTTGAGTTTGGCCCTGTTTGGATTTTGTAGATCTGGGTATGTTCTCTTAGACCTTTTGTTGAACACTTGTTGGGTGTAAAAGCGTCGCCTCTCAATTTTGGTGTTGTTTTCTTCTGATTCTTTGTTTTTGTCGTCTTCTTCTTCTCCTTCTTCCTTGTTCGTGTGATTGTTTGACCTAAAACGACGTCTTTTCATTCTGGGTATTTTGCAAAGAGTGGAGATGCTAGCGGAGAGTTCTCGTCGGAGTTGTGTTGGTTATTACTTAAAAAAACTTTTTTTAAGAACCCTAATTGTTTGATCAGTGTAATCTAATTAATCGCTTAGATATACTTGATTCAAGATGTATTTTTTTTTTGCCGTTTTGTGGGAGATTTTGGTGTGAATTGGAAATGGGTGGGAAGCTTCAACCCTAATTTCCTTAATTTGCACTCAGTTTCCCCACCAGCCGTATTTATGTCTTCATTTACTATCCCTAAAAAAAAAAAAAAGTTGTCCCATTATCTTCTTAATTACGTTCTTTATTTGAAAGTGAAAAGGAAAAAAAACCCCAGTTTTCAGCCCCCATATTTATGCAAAAATGAGTGAACTTTCCTCTTCAAGCTAAAGGTAACCGTTAAAGTTTTGTGTGCTTTAGCAATGTCTTTGGCTTTTTCATACTATGCCTCAGACTTGTACTTTTACTGTTGTTCTTGCTGATACGTGTTCATTACACCTTTGAGAGATAGGATGGGGACGTTATTAGCTTTCAAGAGGAATGTAGCTAGTTTTGTTACACGATGGATTTACTTAACTTGTGTGGGTGCTTTTAGAAGGCGGATTGTTGACATGATTAGTTGTGGCCAGTAGCCACATGTTTTACTATATTTTCCGTATTTGGATTTGTATAATATAAATCTTAAAATATTTTGAAGTTATCAGCTATTTTTGTTTTGTGATTTTAGGTTCTTTGGTGACTTGTATTTATTTCTGTTTGTTATTACAAATATATGATACTCTATTCCGACCTGCAACTATTCAGGCTTTAAGGGTTTGCCGTAGTGATTGTACTGAGGTTACAATCTTGGATCTATATTATTAATAAGAGGGACACAGAAGGAAGCCGGAGGTACACTGGAAGTTTCCATGGCATTGGCAAGCAACATCGTTTTTATAGTCTGAGTTTTAGTAATTATTCCGGTTATGTGCCATTTTGTGACAATCTGTTATTTTTTGTTGAGCATATACACAAAGTGATATTCTTTTTTTTTTCTTAGTGTACAATGTATGCCTTTTCTATTAGGAGACTCTGATGCGTTTTTTTTGTTAGAGAATAGAGACTGATCTAAATTCTTTTAACCTCTAAGATATTTTGGAATTAAATGCCTTTGGAGTTTCCTTTGGCTTTACACTATTGAATAATTGATGGTTTTTGGGTTCTTTTCTGTAGATAAATGACAAATGTATCAACCAAAGGGTGTTCCTAGTTCAAACTTTTCTCGGAACAATACGTTTGTCCATGGTCAACATTTAGATAGTGGAGCGAACACGATGGATCCCATGAATGGAGGGAACAGTCTCAACAACCCCAGTCTCGCCTCAAAACAAAGGTTGCGTTGGACGCATGATCTTCATGAACGCTTTGTTGATGCTGTGCAACAACTTGGTGGACCAGATCGTGAGTCACACTAACTTCTGTTTGCCGCACCAGTGTTTTTCTTTTTATTGTATGCCTTTGCTCTTGAATTCGTGTCATTTGTCTACTGGTAATGAATTAGGATTATTCCAGCTCAATTACTATCCGATATTTTGCTGGCAATTATTAAAATGTACTCTCTGCATATCTAGATTAGATACTTATGCACTAACACTTGATGTGGAATAGTCAATTTCTATTGAGAAATCCATCAGTTTCTATGTAAAAATTGTGCGTCAAGTTTTTGAATGCTACGATTTTGCTTCATTTTGTTTCATTTTATCCTTTCTCAGGTGCTACCCCCAAAGGTGTTCTCAGAGTGATGGGTGTACAGGGTTTAACAATTTATCATGTTAAAAGTCATTTACAGGTACATATAGTTCTTTTTTGGATAAGTATTTCTGGTATATGTAGTTGAATTATCCAACTGGTATCTTTTTTCATTGTACTTTGTCAAATTCAGCATTTAGGGAATGGGTTTGGATATTGTTCCTTGTTCTGATTGTCTGTTTCATCCTACTTTTGCGATGCATCCAGAAATATCGGCTTGCAAAATACCTACCCGACTCCTTATCTGATGGTACGCATATCTGATTCTTTCAATATATATATATATATATATATATATATTTGGTTGCCAATAGATTCTATAGTCAATGTTCTATTGTCATTGACGTGAAAAGAGTGTGTTCTTTTCACAACTCAAGTCACAACTCAAACATTTAAATTTGAGAAAAGACTAGTAAAACAGTTGAATTTGAATTTTTGTGAGAGAAAACACTGTGCGAAAGAACTTGAGTTGCGATTTGAGTTGTGAAAGAACAAGGCTTAAAAAAAGTGTACATAACTAAGGTTTGTTTTAGTATAATCCTGGCTTAATGTCTTGATTCCTTTGATGTGTTGGCGTAAGGGAAAAAAGTTGACAAGAAAGAACCTGGGGATGCACTTTCCAATTTGGATGGTTCATCGTAAGTGGAGCTGCCTATCTTCCCCCTTTTGGGTTTTTAATGCTGATTTACTTGTAGATAAACGGATCGTGTCAATGTCAATCTAGTCTTTATATCGAAGCTTGTGCTAGAAGAACTGCCTTCTTATTTCTTAATATATGAACATTGAGTGCAGCTATAAATTTGTTATATTCTCTGGTCTCATGAGTATCAAGAACGGCAGATATAGGAATATAAAATAATGAACGACGAAGCTATTTGTTTGTTTAATTTGACTTTATCAGTTGGTTGAGAAGTACATGTCTCTGATCTCTTTTTCCAGTGGGATGCAAATTACTGAAGCGTTGAAGCTGCAGATGGAGGTTCAGAAGCGGCTGCATGAGCAATTAGAGGTTGATTTCTTTTTCCCAATTACTGTCCAATTAAGTAGACTAGATACTGTGATTAGCGCTCTTTGCAATACCCACTTTATATATTAGCAATTGTTTAGTAATGGAAAAGGGGAAGGGAATATCCATAAAAAAAAAGGGAAGGGAATATAAAATTCTTTTATGTTAGAGTATTATGGATTGAGGTGAAGCTTATAAACCATATAACTGAACTGTCAATGTACAACAGGTACAGAGACAGCTACAATTACGCATAGAAGCACAAGGCAAGTACTTGAAGAAGATTATTGAAGAACAACAAAGACTAAGTGGAGTTCTTTCAGAAACTCCCGGCACTGAGCTCTCAGCCCCTGCAGTGGGTGACAATCACCCGGAATCTGACAAGACTGAACCAGCAACACCTGCACCAACCTCCGAGGCCCCCCTTCAAGACAAGACTGCCAAGGAACGCACCGCAGCTAAGAGCCTCTCTGTCGATGAATCTTTATCATCTCACCATGAGCCATCGACCCCAGATTCCAGTTGCCATGTTGGTTCTCCATCGGAGAGCCCGAATGGTGGGAGGTCGGCTAAAAAGCAACGGGTTAACACGGGCGGAGCATCTGGCAAGCCAGATTTAGTGCTTACACACCAGATTCTGGAGTCGAGTTTAAACTCTTCTTACCAGCAACCACACACTGTTTTCCTGACTAGAGAGCAGTTTGAATCTTCTGGAAATACAGTCAGGAATGACGATCAGCTGGAAAAAGTTAGAAGTAGTGATCTATAATTCCACGTATGGAGTAGAATATGCACTTGGGACTTTCACATTTCCTTGTATGAGTGTGTTGGGATGTTGTCTCTGATCAAGGTAAAATGATGCTGTTAATTAATAGATATTTTGAGATATAACTAGGTAAAAACACGTTCACAAGAATAACCAAAGGTTCAATCATATCCAAAGAGTTACTGTGAACAAGGGGAAAGAATTAGTTAGCTTACGTGATAATTGTTATAACGTAGATCTAATGCGTTGATTTTATCGTGTCTATGGAGATGCCACATTTCTTTGATGGATGCTGTTAACTATTTGATACTCGGTGGCAGCCATATTAGAAACATTTAACCCTGCCATTATTCGCCAATGCCAATTAGGGCTTCAGTTACTGGAGCTGGTGCTTTGGGTTTAAATGTTAATTCGGTTGAGAGGGTAAGTTTTTTCGCCCACCATTGGATTAACTTTTAGATCTGTGACTGAGAATAGTTCTGTCGTTCTGTTTCTAATGTTTTAACATGAATCCTCACATATCTGACCGATAGATGCCAATCTAACGGTAAAAACATCACCTATCCGTAAGATGTTAATTTTTTTTTTTTTGCCTATATGTATTGGTACGCAGTTTGAGCTGACAGATCTTCATCGGGTTCATTAAATTTGTGTACTCTCTTTTTTGTTTTTTGGGGGGGTTCTCACGCATGGTTTTTTTCTTTCTAAATGAAGTTCTCACGTGATTTCACCGATGGAAAAAGGAAAAAAAAATTATCATTTCTTTAGCACTCCGCTAATCTTACATCAGAAGCATTTCACCCTATATAGTCAAAATCCGTGAGCAAGATTCCCGTAACTTTGCGGTAATTTTGGCAGCATATCCATTTCACCGAAAGGTAAATCTACGCGACAAAACTATAGGATGTTGACAAAACCATAGGTGGACAGATTATTATGCACGCCATGCATGAAATTGATCTACGTTCCATCATTCTGGCCATATTCAGCCAACAGTACTTCGACCGAGCACATCCATGCTTAAATCAGAGAAACGTACAATTCATCTGTAACTCTCTAGTGTCAGCTTTCCAATAATCAGAATCACCACATTAGTCAATCTCCGGTTTTGAGTCATGACCTAACAAGCTAAGCTTACAAGACAAAGACAAACTTTGTGCCATGTGAAGCTGCCAAATGTAGAGACGTGTGGCAGAGATTGTGTGCAATGGGAGGGAGGGGAACTCGGCAAAAATAAAGATTGAGAATGGCACACACAAGTTGAAGCAGAAAGAATCCGTGCCCTCAAACAAGACTAGAATGAAAGGATCAAAACCCATGACGGGGTTGGAGAATACACTAATGAGAAGTAAAAATTGCAGATAAAAACATTAGTAGCTACAAATTCATCTATTGCACAAACAGTCATGAAGAGCTATGTCTCCGGTGGTTTACTCTCTTTAGAATGCATTGTCGTAGTCGTCTGCTAAGGGCCTCTAACTTCTCGAGTTTTTCACGTTTTGGCTTCTTTGGGATGGTTGGCGCTTTCTTCTTCTTTTCCTCTTTTGTTAGGTCTGACGACTTCTGCTGCGTGTTGTTTCGTAGAGGCGTTGCAAACACCTTAAGTGTCTTCTAGAATTAAAAAAAAAAAAAAGATTATAAAAAACAGAAGTCAGGAAAGAGATGTCCACATCTCAATAGAATCACAAAGGCAAAGCACCCTAAGTTTGGAACTTTATTTATGATGGATTCATCAATCTCAAAAGTTATCATTCAAGGCCAAAAGTTGACAGGATAGCAAATGAAGAAAGATATATATATCCACCAACACTATTACAAAAAACTAGGCTGTTCTACATCAGGTGGGCTAAAAATTGATAGGATTATGAAGTGGCAAGTGAATAAAATTAAAATATTTTGAAGAAACTGCAGATGGAAAGAGAGAGACCTGATGACCATTCTCTGCAGCTGTGCAATCTGCAGAAGATTCTTCATCACTGCCTCCTAAAGATGAGCATCTTCCCCAACTCTCTCTATTTGAGCTTGTATACGAGCAACATTCATCATTCTGGCTATTTGGCTTATCCTGTAAAACATTATCTAGACTGTTTAAGGGGGAAAAAAATCTCCGAAATGGTAAGAGAAAACCACATGTTTTCCGTTGACTCCCGAACTCAAAATAATGATGAATAAAATGACATTTGAATTCATGGAGGGTCGTAGTGGATAAAATCACCTGTAATTTTGATGATTCATGACCAAACTCATTAATTTCAGTAAGCACAGAATCCTGCATTATCAAGAATCACACAATAGTTCAACATAAAGTAATCATGAAGATAAGAAGAAACAAACTAGAAAACAAGATCCATAGTCCATACAGCAGTCATTGGGGCAATATCAGAAAGAAGCTCATCTACTGATTTTGTAGTTGAAACGATGGGAGGAGCAGAAGACGAACTTGCTGCGTCAGTACCCGCAGAGCGAACGCCAGTAATAATCTCATATAACAAACCCTGAAACGAAAAGTAAGACAAATTAGAATCGATCTCTATGGGGATAAAACAAAGTCAATTGTCAGACAATGATAGAACAATGGGGGAAGGCAGTGTTGTCGGAGTTTTTCGTTAGAAGAAGTTGATAAATTCCATAATAGCTTGAGCTGAAACAGTGAGTGCGTTTGGAATTGTTTTCGAAAACGTTTCAGCACGAAAATGAAAAGGGTATACAAATCGAGTTTGTTTAATAAAAGTTTTGAAAATGGAAACGAAAACAAAAAACAATGAGAATGATTTTTGTGAAGAAAGTAGAAAACGATTAAAAGTTATTTTTCCTTTTCCGTTTTCATTTTCTAGTACTTATAAACAAAGTTATATTAAATAATTAATTATTAATTACTAATTATATTATATATTAATAAATAATTAATAAATAGATAAGCCAAAATCAGAAGCAGCCCAAAGGTAACTTTAACTTTTACATTGTGCGGGAATCAGCACAGTACAATTAATGATTATCAACAAAGTTCTATTAAATAATTAATTATTAATTACTAATTATATTATATATTAATTAACAATTAATAAATTGATATACTTAATAAGTAATAAATATATAGTAATTACTTAATTAGTAATTAAATATTAATTTATTACTATTAAGTTTTTAATTTTGTTAATAAAATAATAAATAATATAGTAATTATTTATTTAGTTAAAGATTAATTGCCAAAACTTAATTATATAAAATATGAACAATAAAACAAGTAATAATAAGTTATTAAATAAATAATTAATAATTAATATATCGATCATATATTATGTTAATTATATTCTATTAATTAGTAAATAGTTGGTAAATGAAAAATAAATAATAATTACTCAATTAATAATTAATATTAAATTATAATTATCAATATATAATATATTAATCAATAGTAATTAATAATTAATCATTATAAAAAGAATCATTATCAAAAATTGATCATGTGATATATCAAATAATAGATTATTAAATAAAAATGAGTAATTAATTAATTATTTATTTAATTATGTAACTAAAAGTTAATAATTACGTATAATCTAATTAATATGAGTACATTAGTAACATAATAATTATTATTTTTAATTATTTAGCATATTAATTTATTATATATATAGTTTAATTACTAATGTACTCATTAATGATAATTTATCCATTATTATTATATTATTAATATATTAATTTTTATTTGCTAAATAATTATCAATTATTAATTACTTATATATATTAATTTAAGATTATTAATTACATGTACTCAAAATAAACATAAATGTAACCAAACACGATTTTACTTTTTTATCATACTCAAATCAATCTCTTGAAAGCTCACCAAACGTAATTTCAGAATCGGTTCCAGAATGATTTTCAAAACAATCTCATTTTCATTTTTTACCGAAAACAAAACTATTTTAAAAACATTATTGAACGGGCCCAGTGAGTTGAAAATTAAGCATAACAAAGATTGTACTATGTCGCAGCAGATAACATATAAACTGCATATATTCTTGTAGAAGTAAGATATTTCTTGAGGATTTTATAATCTAAATCTGACTTGCTCACAATACAAAAACTAAGCAGGAAAACACTTGCTCTGAACTTGTAACCATTTATTCGAACAAATGAACACATAAGCATGACGCTTTTAATTCTTTTAGTAACATGTATGACATAAAATGGGAATTACCTCATCCATACCAGCAGCAACCTTCAAATCCCCCAAATCATAGTATTTGTCCGGCTTACACGAATTAACAGAAGGAATTTGTGGAGGGTGAAGAACATTGAAGAAGAAAATTGATACTGAATCATAGTAGAACTGTGGCCGAGAGGAGTTGTGATCACCATCAAAGTATATAACGTTTTTATCCCCCTGCAGAGGATCAGAGGTATGATTAAATATTTCCACAGTTTTCCAACGGAGGCATATTACTTTGAGAAGGTAGAGGATCTTAATTGAGGCAATACCGCATAAGAATTATATATGTCGTTAGAATGGTGGGGCTGGATGAATTTGTCATCCTTAGCATGCCCAAATAAAGCAGGAATAAATGTCTTGGGTGAAACCTGCCAGCGACCACAGATGGGCATATTTAGTTGTCAAGAAAAATTATACTATGTAAATGAATTAGGTTTTGACTATAGGTCTTTGTTTTTATTTTCTTTTTATAACATAGGCAAACCTGTAAGCAATTAAGATTCATTATATCAAACTTCGCCTTCTTCTCAATCACCCGGCGCATGTATTGCACTGCCATCTTAACCTGATTAAAGAGAACAACACATCTTAGAGAGCATGATTAATAAGAGCTTCTACTCAGGATCACATTCTAAAGTTGGTAGAATAAAATGAGAGGTCAGTCAAGCACTTTACTGTGAATTTAGGAAGCCGTATTTTGTACACATCCACAAGTTCCATCATTAGATCGTATAAATTTGAGAAGGCGCTATCCAACACCATTCCAGCTATTGAAGGATCTTCTGCTCCATAAAGGAGGCTGAATTACAATATCTTTTTAGTTAATACATCATAAGTTAAAAAAAAAGCACGAAAAAGAACTTTCCATCAACAAGTAAAATGGAATCTTTAATGATAACTTATGCAAAACAAAATATCAAAGCCACCCTTGGCCATCAAGCTGCAATGAAATTCTAACACTAAAGCAAATCATGTAAACCTCACAAATGGCAGAAATCCACAAGAAACGAAATCAACAAAGTTATGAACTTTAGATTATGATGAGCAAAAACAGAAGATGAAGTACCAAGTGACTGCGCCCATAGATCGTCCCCAGAGACCTATACGTGAAATTTGTTTGTTGCTTCTTAAATGTGATATAACAGTTTTGAGGTCATCTTTCTGCACAGATTAATGAAAACTTACACATGTGAAACAGATAAGAGACTCGTAAAAGAAAAAAATTATGATAAATAGGAATGGTACCTCATGCCAACCAAGGCTGACGTAGTCACCATCAGACAAGCCTGAACCCGAAAAATCAAGAGTGAAAACGGTGATATTTGATGGAAGAAGAATTACAGCTGCCTCATTTGCGTCTGCCCTGCATCCACTGCATCATTTCACATATGAGACAAGTGAGTAAGCTCTAAGTTCTCGATATAAGGGTAAGACCACAATGTGCAGAATAACGTAAAGTTAGTTTTGTTTCTTTGGGAAAAAAATAGGTGGTCTAACTTCTCGACTCCTACCTGTTTCCATGGCAGTAAATGACACAGGGAAGGGGAGAATCTTCAGGGAACTGCGAAGGCACATAATGACTACAACGCAACACGTGGCCCCTCGAATTCCTGAGCTGCAAACGTTGAAAAATAAATAATCCACCATGGTTCAGGAACAATCATGCAAACATACATTATTGCAAACTAGTGAAGAGAACAAAAAGACTGCAATGCACTGGCGTCCATACTTGCCTCCAAGTCTTGTCGTTTGTATGTTCTTCCAGCAAGTGTAAAATCCTTTTCCCATAGATACTGATCTGGATTATAGTCCGCCCTGTTCAAAATCATCCCAAATGAGCATACAAATTACATCCTAATGAAATTCTTAATATTTAAAGTCCCAAGGAACAATAACTAACTAAAGGATCCCTGAGAATTCAAAGGTGCGACATTGAAAGAAATGATTAATTAATTCAAGTGCACTAAATAACCAGTTTAATGGCGTTAAAAGATTTAAAATTAAGCGGGTAGAGTTACTCGCTTTATGTAATTTCCTTTTCATCCTCGTGATTGAATACCAATGATAAAGCCAGCTCTTAAATAAGTTTCGAATACACAAATAAATGTGCAAAGCATATCAAAGATTGACCTTAAATTCCTAAATATTCATTCCAAAACAAATAAATACTAAACATTCCAAATCGGTTATTTTTGAATTTGGAAAAACATCTTCATTCAAAGCCAAAACATTAAAAAAAAAAAAAAAAAATTCAGTAATCGGATTTTTTAAAAGGACAGTTCGAAAAGGGTACCTGGGAGGGCGAATCACAAAATTAATGAATTGATCGATCATTTACGCGCAGAAATTCCTTAAAAAAGCTTCTATTTCAACCTCAATTCTCTACCATTTCCAGAAGATAGAGCCCTTACTCCGCCTCTTTTCTCTCTCCCTCCTCTCCCAAATTTCCACCAAGAAGAGCTTGAGCTTACCAGAAACAAAAATCACAAAAAAAAAAAAAAAAAAATCTGCGCGTCTACGAACGAGATCCAATTCCAAGTTCCAAATAAAAAAGCCGCAACTCTTTCTCAAGAGAGAGAAAACTATATACTAGAGAGAGCAAACCTCCGCTAGCCGGTGAACCCCACCGCCTAAAAATCCATTTCTCCGAGGAAAGAGGAGGATGATAGTATGGATGGGAAGTCACAGAGAGGGAGAGAGAGAGAGCCAAAAACTTTCCAGATCTCCAAACTCTCAGAGCTCAATTTCTTGTGTTTCTTGCTCTCCTTTCTCTCTCTCTCTCTCTCTCCCAATCTCTCTTCCTTCTCTCTCTTAGCGAGACAAGAAGAGAAGGGACCGAAAAAGGGAAAAAGAAGAAAACTTGAGTAAGAGCAGGAAATTCACCGGACCGAAAGAAGCAACAAAATGTTATATGTTTTTGCAGTTTGCTGAAGAGACAGCCAAAAACAAACAACACCAAAACCAAACTCAGCAGAACTCATTAATGAGAGGAGAGAGAAAGAGGAGGCCTTCTTCTTTACTGTCTTCCGTCCGTACAATGGGTAAGAGAAAATTTGGCCGAAAAAGAAATTTTTAGTTGAGTGGATGAAATGGAAAATACTGTTACAAACCCAAGCCACTTGTGCTCTCACACCTCACACTTGTCTTTCCAATGTTTTTTTAAAAAAAATTAAATTAAATTTATTTTTGACTTGCTCTTCTTTTGAGTACTAGTGCAAATTCCAAAGCACTTTTTTTTTTTTTTTTTTTTTTTTTTTTGGGGGGGGAGGGATAGCTGGAAGAGTTCTGAAGGAGACTTGTCAAAAAAGCGTATACGCTTTTTTCTTTTTTATTATTTACTATTGTTTTTTGGGGTGTAAAATCTGATCCTCAACGCATTGCTGACCCGATTCCTGCCAAGGCCAACTTTTGTTGTGTCCTTCTTGACGATGTGTCATCTGAGTAGCATTTAATTCATCAAAAACATGTAAGTAGCATTTAAGAAGATAACAACGTAGTCATAAAAAAGTCATTTGCAACGACACAATTATTTGAAATCTATTTCACACATCTCTACGTATAGAGAACCATTAAAAAAAAAAAAAAAATCAGTTGACGTTTTCTTCCCTCCTTTTTGTAACTTTTTTGGCTAATCTCTAGCAAAAATTTGTGCTCACCAAAGTTTTAAGACGTTAAAAAGGGAAGCTCAATCGACAATCTCATTCAGCTAAGCAACAGATATAAAGATGCTTTTTTTTTTTTTTTTTTTTTTTTTTTTTTTTTTTTTTTTTTGTGAGTGTGTGTGTGACAATTTCATGCTTGAATTTTTTTTTTGTTTTTTTTTTCGTTTTTTTTTTTCCCTCTCGTTCAAGTCTGTGTAATGCATCTTGTTAAAGTCAAATGTTTAAATATGCATAAACCGTGCATCGGGATCGAGACCGACATAAATATCAACTTCTTGTTGTGTATCAAGATCAAATGAAGCAGAGCTGATTCCTTAGAATTCCGGTCCCGCAAGAAATTGATTTCATTCAACCATCAGTAATGGTTAGTGCGTCCAAGCTATTGTTTAAAGAACTACGTCAAAAAATCAGAGTGTAAAATGTAATTCAAGAAGAAGCTAATCTCAAGATAGCTAGTTGGGAACCAGGTAATCCATAAAAATAAAATTCTCTCATTGAAAAATAGGCAATTAAAAAAAAAAGAAAAAGATCTAAAATTCCCGTTCATAATCTAACAGAGTTACTAGAATTAGCTATCTTGGGTAATCTTTACAGTGATTGAGAAAGACGTAGAAGCTCATCCCCCACAGAGTAGAAAGAGTTCCAGCTCCTGACACTTTCAGCTTCTCAAAGCTTCAACTAAGATGTCCAGAATAGAGAAATTCACTACCGGCAAACGCGGATGAATCTCCTACGCATTTTGACCTCTCCAACAATGCAGATCGGTAGCAGAGTCCAGAAAGGGTACATTTATCTTTTATAACTCTCCAAGAACTCTTTTAGCAACAAGAAGACTTGTTACAGAGATGTGAACTTCTGAGGGTACCTTTCCTTTGTTACGGTTAGTATTCAAAACTTGAAAACGCTTTAAAGACCATTAGCTACTTGGTTTTACTATGCCCTGCAACTTCCACCCACCAAGTCCTGCCAAAGCAAATGCCTGTGATTGAAAAAACGCCGGATTAGGCAGGGACAAAGAAAAGGTACACCAAAACTAAAAATTAAGTTCCACAAAGTATGACCAAAACAGTCGAAGCATCTATAGCTGCAGCAAGCCAGTGCATAAATTCCATCTATCCAATATTTGATTAGAGTAACTGAGGTATTCTCCCACAAAGGAATACAAACATCAATAACCTCAATGAACCCTGCAAACATTCCTACAATATAAATGCACACGTACTGGTGTGTGCATATTTCTTAGATTTTTCAAGTTAAATAGTCCCCAAAGTATGTTGCTCAACTTATGGCTGACAATGCTATAGACTCCTATTTCAATTAACAAACCGATCACAATGCTTTAGACACCTCATTTGGGAAAAAAAGAAGAAAGCTATAGACTCATCATTGAACAAACAAGCAGTACTAAGCCATAAGAGCTCTAAAAAAGCTGTCCATCATGAACGGAGGCTAACAGCAAGGATGGATCATCAAAGGAATAATTGAGATTGACCTCTGCTGAACATGACCTTCCCTTCGACAAGCCCCCCTTCCCGGGGACACACACATACACAGAGGTTAGGGTAGTCCAGATTTCAAAACCCAACATTCTAATTCTTGTCTTTAAGTAAAAGAGAGAGTCAAATTACTACTCATTATCTCCCTGTTAGTATGTGTAAATCCTCTAGATAAGCATTCCCTGTTTCAATTCTTAGTTATCACTTATATATCAACAATCCATTGAGAGCATATTACGCCCTTACTTCATCTGTGTGAACGCCATCTCCCCCTACTAGTTTAAATTAACTTTATATCCTGCAAGTCTCAAGCAGTATATTTGCAAAGTGAGAGACAATCAATATCAATCCCCAAGCTTTCAGAGAATGAGCCACTCAAAGCACCTTTCTGAAAAGGTATACATGTCATTGCAAGCTACAAGTTTAATATGACTTAGATACTAAAAGAAAAGAGGGGAAAGAGTCTGAGACTCTGCAGAGCTATAACTGCTAAAAGATTATCAAGGCAATATATTTCTTCAACCAGACTCATTTTGAAGACATATCCTCTCATTAAGAAAATGAAAAATGTTAGTGTAGAAATAAATACCAATGACAGAATATTGCAAAAAAGAAAGGATGCCAACCAACCTCAGTCCAAGATTTCCCACTAGTTTCGAGCAAAGCAGCATTGCAAGTCTTCAATTCTACAGAGGCGCCTGTGAACATTGACGCTGCCTCCTCCCAACCCCTATTATGTCCCATACACCTGTAAAGTTATGTCATCATTGTCACAAAGCTCTTTCAAAAAACAGCATAAGAAAGATCTAATGAACGAACACAATATCAAATTGTGAGGGGGAAAAAAAATCCAACCCCAAAATGAAAATATTTCCATTTATGCCTTCCATAGCAGTCGAAGACATTAAGCTACTAATATGAATATAACGTTGATGAGTGTGTGGAACTCAATTATCGCCTTGCACAGAGTTAGCACACAATTTATCTTATGTTGGGGGAGCCGATCTTAGAGTTAAATGAAAAATATGGAGAGGCTGAGAGGCATGAGGTGTGTGATTCTCTTATAATCTTCTTTTTCATCGCAGTAGGTGGTCACAACTATCACAACAATAAGGTTGAACCACTCGCAACATTAAGGTTGAACCACTATCAAGTTGTTACGTGTTTCTGTTTGCATTTTCTTTTATATCATTGCTCTTGGTACTAAAGAAATAGGGTAACTAATTCTTAACAAACAAACGCAAATCTAAGTCAAATCAAAATCCTAAATTACCAGTTCAATGAAAATAATTGTTCGAAATGTGCGTGCCAGAGGCGATGCCTTCTAGCTTTTGTCTCAATGAATCATTCCCTAATGTTGCCTAAACAAATATCAGTTCTAAAGAAGCCAAATGGCGATCAGAACTTACATGACAGTGACTATTTCATCCCCTGAACATCTACAGACAACATCTTGAAGGTGCTCAGCCGTCTGACCATCCATGGCCGCAATCGAATAAAAGCTCGAAATGAATCGCACCTCGGCTTCCAAGAACCCTTGCACTTGTTCCTGCATTATCTTAAGCGTCTCCTTCGTTCGCAATGCGTCACTGCACCAAAAAAAAGAAAAAAAAAAGAAAAAATTAAACAAACTCACACACACAGAAACAATCAGAATTTCAATCTCCATTAGCCAATAAAGTTCAATTCGTTCATTAAATTAGACCAAAAGTTTCCCGATTAATCCAACCTAGAGAGAATGAGTTGAGGAATCCAACCCAACTCTTGGAGCTTGTGAGCAACTTTAATGGCGTCCGCTTGCCCTGTTTTACTCAGAGGCCGATCATGGTCTGAGAAAATTGCAAAAAACAAAACCAAACAAACAAAAGAAAATTTTAAATTTTCATGAATCCACGGATAGGAAGGATCAAAGAACAATAATTGCTCGCCGGAGAGAGCAGCAACCTCGGAGGGAACGATCTCGCCAGGAGCTCTTGGCGTGACGAAGAAGAATGAGGCGGCGAGAAATGGAGTCAATCGGCGGAGAAGGAGCTTCGGTCTCTTCGGAAATGGCGTCGCCTTTGTTGTCCCCCACTGATGTCTCGATAACCAAAGAGGATCGGCAACGGAAGTAGCCTCTGAAGCTCCGGCGAGAAATGGAGGGTTTTGATGGAAGCTGAGGTTTGAAAATGGGTTGGTTTAGCTGTATGTTGGAGAACGAAACCGCATTCATCATACTGCACTCTATTTCTCAGATGAATGAGAAAGAAAGATGACGAGATGAGTGAGTGAAGTCAGGACCGGCTCTCCCTCCTAATCCGCAGAGAGAGAGAGAGAGAGAGAGTATTTACGCGCTGGCGCGTGGCAGAAGTTCAGACGACAGCTCGTTTTAATGCAATAAGAAACTGGTCTTTAAAAAGTTTATTACTTAAAAAAATATTGTTGGTTTTTTTATAATAACTATTGCTTATTTTTTTTTATAAATTATTATTATTTCATTAAATTAGTAAATACTAATTATTATCTATTAATCATGTTTAAATTTTAAAGAAAAATACTTAGTTTATTATGATTTTATGCATGTCTATTATTTATGTGATTGTAAATAATTAGATGTCATTGTGATTTTTTATTTTTTCTTTATTAATTGAAGTGTCAATTTTGTTTATTTTTAGCGGAGTGGCTAGATAACATTTTGGTTATATTTGGAGTTATTTTTGTTTTTATTTTTTTATGTTTTTCGAGAAAGAAAAAATGAAAATCGGAGAGAAACGACGTTTGATACAATTAAAGATAAAAAATAAAAATGAAAATGATTTTTTAGTTTAGTGTAAAATGAAAGAGAAATAAAAAATAAATTTTACTCATTTTTCATTTTTTATTTTCGTTTTTCCTTTCTCGAGTAAAGTGAGATTAATGTATTTTTTTATACTGAAAATAATCTTTTAATGAAATTACCAAACGTATTTTTAAAAATAATTTTTATCTGAGATTGAAAACGTTTTCATTTTTATTTTCATATAAAAAATAAAATTATTTTAGAACGAGTTTCAAACGCGGACCTGAGTGTTATTTTAACTTTTTCGCCTTAATTTATATGCCCCGAGAAGGGACGATCAGCGTGTAATACTTTTAAATATAATATGTGATCCCACTAAATTAGTAAAAAAATAAATTTTAATCTATGATCACAAACCTATACTCCATTAATCAAGGTCACCATTTATTAAATTTTTTAGTTCCGTAAATTTTTAATCTGACCCAAAGGGCAAAGTGGGTAAATTAAGAAGGTACGGTTTTTTGTCCAACAGGTGTTGTTGGAGTTTGGGAATGAAAAAAGTGCTTCCTCGTTATCTGTTGCTTCTTTTGTCGTACGTGGGGTTGGCGAATGCGATGGTAAAGGTGGAGGGCATAAGCGTAAATCCGGTTTTACCGTCCATCCACAATTGTCTCCCATTCCATGTTTTTTCCTTACGAAGACGAAGACGGTGCACATACAAGTAAATGAAAAAAAAAAACACAAAAAAGCCAAAAACAAAAATTAGTTTTTTCGCTCTTACGTCATAAATAAAAAATCAATCGATAGATTTACGTCATAGGATAGAACGAAAAGAAACCACAGCAAGAGGTGGTTGGAAGCAGTGTGCCAATCGCAACGCCTGAAGCCGACGACGGAGCAACAACCGCCGCCGCCGCCATCGCCGCCGCGATACTTTTCGTGTGTGTGTATTTCCTAAACCGGATCAGTCCAATTCAGTTTCAGTTGGGAGATTTCTTCATTTGTCTTTTCCTTGGTCAGAAATGTTTTTGTAAAGGGGTTTCAATTTTGGACGCAGATCGCGTGGTGATTGAAGGTCCAGACCCGCCGCTTCAAAAACTCGCTTGCTCGGAGGTTCAATTCGCTCCCCCCTCTCTCTCTTATCTTTGTTTTTGTTTTTGTTTTTGTTTTCGTGAATTAAGTGTGATGATTTTTTCGTGAATCTTTTACGGCTTAGATATTTTGAGTTTCATCTCTGTGAGGATTCTTCAGTTCTTTTCCTCCTCTGAATTTGATTTTTAGGGGAAATAAATTATGGGAGTTTTTTGTGATTTGGGTAGTAAGTAGTGAGGAACATGTAAAGATGGTTTTTTTTATTTTTTTTTATTTTTAATTTTTTCATCGTAATCGAGTTAGTTTCTTGTTTAATAAGATCAATTTGGCGTGACTTGAAGCTCTCTTAAACAAAATAGACACCATTTTCTAAGGCCAATGTGAGACATCTAGCTTTTTTAGTTTATTATTCTGATTTTGGTTTTGGAGGGCCTCTTACCTGGGCGATGTCCCACATCAGAAAGTTGTTGTTTTCGCTGAACAAGATCAATTTGCTGGTTTTGTTGCATAAACCACTTGTTTTTGAGTTTGTATTCTTCAATTGTTTATGGCGATGGTGGAGATTAATACTTGATTTTTTAGACCAACTTGCATTGAATTTTCATGTTGCTAGCGATTTAATCAGATTTGCATTTGGAAAAGAAACTAACATTTGGAGGTCGCTGAATCAATCTTATGGTCCTTTCTAAGTTGTATTTTGTAATGATGTCTTTACCCCCTCTCATTCTTTGTGTTGATATTTGCTTTAGGTATAGACAGCGAGGCTAAAATGGCCCATTATGAGGGGGAAGAAATGGATCATGTTGCTGATGATAATGAAATGGCAGAAGTAGATGAAATTATGTATTTTCATGGTAGAGTGATTGGTGATTCAGAATCTGATGATGATGACGAGGACGACTATGATCATTTGGTTCGTTACAGTGATCTCACAAATAATTTCAAGTATCACGTATTTGTAGAATATATTGATTAAAGGTGCTTATTTTCTTTTTGTCGTTTGGTTTGCTTCTTGCCTGGGATGGGGTTATGTGGTGTTGTGCAGGACAATAAAATAACAGATACGTCCGCTGCAGATGCTAGGAAAGGAAAGGATATTCAAGGGATTCCGTGGGAGCGATTGAGCATCTCTCGCGAGAAGTATAGGCAAACTAGAGTAGAGCAGTATAAGAACTATGAAAATGTTCCACAATCAGGAGAAGGTTCAGAAAAGGTAGAATTTAATGCCTAAATTTCTGTTTGTATTCGACCAGTATCTTGTGGGTCTACTTACACATTCACTGTATCTTTCTTTACTTTGCATCAGGAATGCAAGCCAACCAAGAAAGGTGGATCATACTATGAGTTTTGGCGAAACAATAGATCTGTAAAATCAACAATCCTTCATTTCCAAGTATGTTCTCATTTTTCTTCTGTTCAGTGTTGAACTATTTTTAGATGAATGGTCCAATTGTTGCAATTTCTTAAGCCTTACGAACCATTTGGTAATTGTTATCAACATTTGAAATCAATTATTTGTAGCTTCCACAACTGTGTGTAATTTTTCTAGTTAGTGTTAGTTTCAGAACCACTTGACGTATTAACTGGATCTAGCTACTTAAGGCCCCTTTTCCCTCTCTCTTCATGCTCTGATATTGCTGTTTGTGGTTACCTTTTGATGATAGATACGCTTTCGGAATAATTAAAAGACACAAAGTAGATGATGTGATGTCCTTGTTTTCTTTTATAGATTTTTTCCTGGCAGTGCTTTCTTAATATGTCTGACCTGATTTATTTGAATACTATCATTTGCAACTGCAGCTGAGGAACTTGGTTTGGTCTACATCAAAGCATGATGTTTATCTCATGTCACACTTCTCTGTCATCCATTGGTCTTCACTAAGTGGCAAGAAAACCGAAGTTCTTGACGTTTCTGGGCACATTGCCCCACGTGAGGTGCCATCATTTTCCAGATGTCCTATCAATTTTCTCTTTACTACGTCAATGATGCACTTTTTTTTCGTTTTTTTTTTTTCCTCTTTTGAGTACTATGTTAACGATATAGTTGTAACTGGGGTTTCCAAATGTTTTCTTGTAGAAACACCCTGGAAGCATTTTGGAAGGATTTACTCAGACCCAAGTTAGTACACTGGCTGTTCGGGATAACTTGTTAATTGCTGGTGGATTTCAGGGAGAACTTATTTGTAAGGTAACTGTTTTGACTGCTTTTTGCATTGTCTTGGTTCTCTTTCGCATGTTTCCAACCTCCCTCTCTTTTAACTTTATGCACTTGTTAAGATTTTTTCTTTTTTGTTCTTACTTTTCTTCACTGTTTATTATTGGCAAACATATATTTACTTTTTAGATGATGCCACGATTACATGTCTGGCAACTGCAAACGCCACCTGTTCACTTATCTTACCCTTCATCATCATCTACATTTGAAGTTTGATCTTCTTTCGATAATGGATTATAATATTTCTCTGTGTTGTTTTCCTGTCGACCTGCAGTATCTGGATCGACCAGGAGTAACCTTCTGTTCCAGGACAACTTATGATGAAAATGCAATCACAAATGCAATTGAGATTTATGAAGGCCCCAGGTTCGTTTCTCTTTTTTCCGTCTTCACAGAAACGTGTTGGTTGCACTAGCACTATTAGTTTCATGCGTCGGGCTTACTTGAACTCTATTTTCAACAGTGGCGCAGTCCATTTCATGGCTTCAAACAATGACTGTGGAGTCAGAGATTTTGATATGGAGAAATTTCAGCTTTCCAAGCAATTTTCTTATCCTTGGCCTGTAAATGTAAGTACTTCTTGGAATACATGATGACCATTATGTGCAGTAGAGTAGGAGGTAAATTAATTACATCATCTTTTTGTTTCTGTGAGATGTTTTGAAATTTATCTTTTTGTCAGATAATTGACATGTTGAGCTCCTCCGATGCCTTTATGTTTGAAATTTAGCTTTTTGTCAGATAATTGACATGTTGAGCTCCTCCGATGCCTTTATGTCAAGTAATTACTAAGGCAATCTTATTTGTCATACTTAGGAAATAAACTCTAGTATAAGTGCTTGATTAAAACAGTAGGCTACCTAACTTTTTCCCCCCCTTGATTTAGAGGATGCATTGATAATAAACTTAATCATGTTATAATATGCTGTTTTGATGTTTTCCTTTACAGCACACTTCTTTGAGTCCTGATGGTAAATTTCTAGTTATCGTTGGTGACAACCCTGATGGAATGCTAGTGGACTCTCAAACAGGAAAGGTCGTCCCTTGACTCTCTTCTTTTTCCCTTCGAAAGAAGCTCTTAAAGCTATATGTATCAGAAAGTATTGAGAATGACACACCTAATTTGACTTCCTCATCTCTACAGACTATAATGCCTCTATGTGGACACTTGGACTTTTCCTTTGCATCTGCATGGCATCCTGACGGCCATATCTTTGCCACCGGAAACCAAGACAAGACTTGTCGTATTTGGGATGTTCGGAATCTGTCAAAGTCTGTTTCTGTGCTCAAGGGTAATCTGGGAGCCATTCGCTCGATTCGTTTCACGTCCGATGGGCAGTTCATGGCAATGGCCGAGCCGGCTGACTTTGTGCACGTTTATGATGCGAAGAATGGGTTTGAGAAGGAGCAGGAGATTGATTTCTTTGGGGAGATCTCTGGTATGTCTTTCAGTCCTGACACAGAATCCCTTTTCATTGGTGTCTGGGATCGCACATATGGCAGTCTGCTTCAGTACAACCGTAGCAGGTACAATACATACCTCGATTCTCTGTTGTGAATAAAGAACCGCATTACTAGTTTGTATCATTGGACGTGAATTCTATATCCAATTTTCTAATTACTTTAAATATGGTCGAACCAACATCTGATGCTTGTGGATGCACATCACATGGCTTGTCCTATAACTTTACAGAGAGGGGGATGACAATATGTTGCCTGATGTGATGATTGGTACTCTGCTTTGCTCATAAAAATAATGCTGCTTTGTTAATATTAGAGGGGTTGGAGAAAGGGTTAATGGTCTGTAACATAAATGAGAGAGGATGTAAACTTGCGTTTTAGTGACTTTGTTGAGGAAACTAAAACAATTATAAATTGCATTTCTCTTTGGCTCTGCTTTTGTCTCATGACAAGGGACTGCGGTCGGTTTTTCGTTTCTCTTCTTTTGCTTGTTGATATATTTTTTCCCCCCTGTATTCTTGTTTGAATCGAAAGTAAAACTAACAAAAGAGAAATATATTCATGTTGTTGAAGGAGGACGTTAATTTTGCCCTGAAATAGATTCCTTACTGTGCTTGGTAAACAGTCTGTAATACAGGAGCTGGTTCAAGCTGGCTTCTTGGCTGATATCCCCGTTTAGAGATCTTTAGGCCGTATGTAGAATTGATTTCGTTTTTATTTTTCATGTTTTTCGAGAAAGAAAAAATGAAAATGTTTATAAAACGGCGTTTGGCGCAATAAAAACAAAAAACGGAAATGAAAACGATTTTTTTGTTTAGTGTAAAATGAGAGAGAAATGAAAAACGACTTTTAGTCGTTTTTTATTTTTTATTTTTATTTTCTCCTCTCTCGAGTAAAGAGAGAGAGACATTAATGAGGTTTTTTATACTGAAAATAATCTTTTGATAAAATTACTAAATATATTTTTAAAAATAATTTCTGTTTAAAATTAAAAACGTTTTTATTTTTATTTTCATATAAAAAATAAAATTATTTTAGAACGAGTTTTGAACGCGTCCTTAGGTGTTTTTGTATCTACCAAGAAGTTTCAACATTTGCATTAAAGAACTTAATAAATACTTTTAAGATATTTTGAGACTAGCTGATTAATATGTATTTAAGCAACACAGCTAAATTTCTTTCTAAAAATAGTAAAGTCAAGTCAACTATTAAGAATCATTTGGTGGATTTATTATAGCACCTTGCGGATGTTCACGTGGCTTGTTTTTGGCCTAATATTAAAGGCTTTCTGAAAGAGGGCACCTGCTTTTGGTTACGGTGGGGAAATAATATAAATGAAATAAAAAAAAAGGTTAATTTATTTGTTTGATTATAATTTTAAGAATTTTTTGGAATGGAATATGAATATTTTTATATTGACAAACTTACTTTTATGCTATATATGACACTAATATATTATATATTAATATAATATATAAAATGTAATATAATATAATAAAATTATTATTATATAATAGATTATATAATTATAATATATAATATAACAATACTATTAAAATTGTTAATATAATTATAATATTATAATATATAAAATGTAATATAATATAATAAAATTATCATTAATTACAATATAATATATAATTATTATTATATTATATACAATAAATATATTATAATTAATATAGTGTAATGCACTATAATAGATAATAATATTAGAATTATAAGATTATATTAATATTTAATTATATTAATTATTATTATATTAATAAAAATAATTATATTATATAATAAAATAATAATATTAGAATTATTAGAATCAGAAAAATAACTAGTGGGGTTCTGCAAGCAAAGCATTTCAAGTGTTATTTAACTGCACTTGACAATTCCATAGAATCAGATAAAAACAAGTGATAAATGCTAAGGTAAATACATATTGCAAATTATAATGATTTACATGATAAACGAAGTTTGGAGGTTGTATGATTAAAATACAACACACACAGACGTTGAACAAATGGTAATACACAGTACAATGGCAGATTTCACGTGAGTAGTCAATAATATTTTGATATGTACAATTGAGAAGAAAGCTAAACCATCAGCCAAGCTTCTATTGCTCACCCATTCCCGTAGTCCATTATTCACTATATAATTGATGTAACAAATACACGTATATCCATACATGAGTATAATAACCTTTGCATCTTTTGCATTCACACGATGATTAACAAATATCACTTGTAACTAACTTAACGGCAGCCACCGGGAGCAAACCCAATTCTGGATTTGGACACATCATAGGCCACCTTAAACGTCTGCTGCTGACGGTTCCCAATGACGGTAAGCTCATTGCTTCCTGCAAAGGCCAAGCACACAAGGTCTTCGATTTCGATGAGTATGTTCTTAGGCGCCAAATTCAGCGCAGCTCCTCCCTGAAACACCAGCTGAATCGGTGGCACTGCCGTCACGCTTGCAAGACTGCCCTTGAAGCAAGTATCCAGTATCGAATACCCCGACGCTTTGGTGTACTTTCTTTTCATGATCTTTACAAAAGTGTCTTTCAGCGCAGAGTACACAGGTGTTGGCAAGCGAGTGATGACAGTACCAGAGTCTATAATGGTAGGAACCTTGTAAGTGGCAGCAGACACCCCCAGTGGCTTTCCAGCCACTGTTATGCCTGATAACCCGATGAAATACAAGCTGGGGTTCCTAGGATCCGTGACCATCGGTGTGAATTTGAAGCCGGATAACGTTCCCAACGATGCGGTTCCAATTGACAAGACACCTCCTTGGCCTCCCTTGGCTGAGGGAAGACAGTAAGAGAAACCGTATCCATACTTGTAAGACGTCTGAGCAAGCAAAGATAGCTTGTCACGAGCCAGGCCTATAATCCCAGCAGCCATTCCGAATAGTCCTTGGTTGTCTTGTCCACAGCCATATACAAAACTAGGCAAAACCTGAGATGGGTTTAAAGCGAGTCTATCTTGACTCAAGTAGCCAATTGAGAAAGATGCGTCTCCATAGCTAGCTGTGTATATACAAGTATGTGAATTGGCCTCACAAAAGGGGTCGTTGAGAGTTGCGCGCTTGAGTGAAGAGCACTCGGAGCGGTCACAGGGCAAGGACTTGTAGGTCTTGGACGCTGAGGGGTCGAATATGGGGCCCGCTTGGTTATGGCAATAAATGCGACAAGGTTGGCACTGAAGCCAAGAGAAGGAGCTACCTGTGTCCACAATCACAGGGTAGTACTTGGCAGGGCTTCCAAGGCCTATTTTCACGTAGTAATTCCCCGATCCGATCGATATACCTGAGTTTAACGGTAAGCTAACGGATTTGAGGTATGTTGTCCTTTTGGAATGGGAAGAGGAGGAAGCAGAAGTTGTGATCTCTGCTTCATTTTGTGCTAGTCTAGAAGAGAAAGCCTTGAAGCGCTCTTCATCTTTTGCTAGTACATCATGAAGCCATGATTTTGAATTGAAAAGAGAGGAATTGGATTTGACATGATAGAGGTTCAGGTGGATGCCAGAGAGATCCATGAATGAATTTTCTGCACAAAGGCAAAAAGGGTAAGATTTATTATTTATGTTTGAGCTACATAGATTGTGTTAAGAGAAAATTCACTACACAAACTTAGATAAACATGATTATGAACATGATTAAGTGTACAAATGAGTTGAATACTGGCATAAATAACAAAATGATCAATTACAAATTGTCTCTACAATATTAAGCAACCAGATAATATTCTGACTCTTATTGAATTACATGGCAAAAAAAAAGAAAAAAAGTGCATGCCTTGAAATACATCGGTTGAAGATACTGTGGCAAGCAGAAAGTAGAAACCCAGAATCCAAACTGACCCCATCTCTGACACTCTCTGTTGGTGATGAAAGAAAATATGTAAAGCTTATTCTCTCCCTTAACAGGTATATAAGAGAGAAGCAATTTAAGAGGGGGAAAAAAACAAAAGAGCTTACTGCTGTGACACCTAGAGAAGAAGTTGAAAGTCTTGAATGATTAATGGAGTGAAGCTACTTTTATTAGTATATCAGTTCGGTTTTGTTAATGTCTTTTATCTTTTCCCCAACTAACTGTGTCTTAAATTCACTTCTTTTTTTTTTTTCCTTAAGCGGTGTTCTCTTTTTGGCCCCAGCAGTATGTTTTTTGTACACCAAAAATAGAGTCAGAAGAACAAAGGAGTGCGAAAGAAACATGGCAGAGGCAGTGGGCCTATTAATTTGGAAGGAAGGGGAAACTAATGTCCTAACTTGTCCATTTAAAGAGACCCCATGTCAAATAATGACATGATTTTGAAAAATCCAAACCGAAAGGTCCCCTCTAACTACAAGCCCTGATATGTAACGCTCAACTTAAGCTAAAGGATTTACTAATTATTAGCCAAGCAAAAAGAGGTTTAAGGGGTTAATTTTGATATCAAAGACCGGGTGACCAGTGCTTGGAATAGTTTGAATTTTCAAGTTTTAAGAATTCTGGTTAGTGGTTATATCCCACAACTTACAAGTGTGAGATGAAATGAAATGACGCATGCAAAAGCTACAATATTTATGAAACGGGCGTATGGAGGGTTATAGTTGAGGAGTAAATTAGGACGTAGACAAAAAAGGGTTTCTTTCTTAATTGAAAGTTTGAAACCGACATGACAAACACAGGAGTTTTGACATAAATATCAATTCACAACCACACGTTTTCTGATCCCCAAGGTGATTTTCTTCTAAAACGTTTGACAAATATAACTTTTCTCCAATCCAAGTGACTTTCACAACTTCTAACCTTTCTCTCAAAACATTACAGAGTGAGGTTGTCAAAAGAAGAAAAAGAAAACGTTTTGAGTAATCAATCATTTCCAACTTAAATCATGACAAACTGTTACTTTGCGACTTAAAGAACTTGTCAACAAATTGTGTCGGCACCGAGAGATAATTTTTCACTAATTAAGAGCCGAGATTAACTCGTAAATATAATATTGAAGCGATCAAGAATTATAGCAATGCAATTATTCATTCTTGATTAGTGGATGAAAAGCATGACAAGGAGTTGACAGCTAGGGTATGGTCACGTCCTCATTCAATTTTCTAACAATATTCGTCTTTCTTCTTCATCATTGGCCCAGTTGGCCATTCACCTCCATGATCGGTGACAAATGAAAAGACAGGTTCCCCAACGATTTAACGAGCCAAAACCATCAACGTAGTACTCTTCTCTGCAGTGTCACTAGCAGCAAAGCTCGCTTTTGCCGAGTGAAAATAATGCATCAGAGAATAGTTCAATGTACGGTAATTAAAAGGTTCTGGTGCTTTGTATTACCAATAATATTTTGAAAATATTAACGGTTCATTTTATTAATTCAAATTATTATTATAATATTGTCTATTATAAAAATTTAAATTTAATTTTTTCTGTTATAGTATTTTTTCTTACGTTAATTTATTTTTTAACTCAAATTCTCAATTCAAACGAAATGAACAGAATTCATATAAGGATGCTATTTTGGCCGCTATGGGGATAAGGAAACTTGATCTACGTTGATGATCCCACATGTGCTATTGTTTTGACTGATTGTGCATGGAAAGCATAATGCAAAAGCATAATTAATTTGGACCACAGTTATGGTTGCATAACTAACCGTAATCATAGCACTCATGTGAATAGTGGTGTTATAGTCGTCAAACATCATCCATCATGACTAGATTACCACAAAACCCTTAGCGCATAAAACTCATCTTAAAATAATTTTTTTTTTGTATAAAAATGAAAATATTTTTAATCTCAAACAGAAATCATTTTTACCCATTAATGTCTATTTTTCTCTCTCTACTCGAGAGAAGAAAAAACGAAAATAAAAAATAAAAAATGACTAAAAGTCATTTTTCATTTCTCTCATTTTACACTAAATTAAAAAATCATTTTCATTCTATTTTTTGTCTTTATTACACCAAACGTTATTTTAAAAATATTTTCATTTTTTTTATAAAAAAATGTGAAAAATAAAAATGGGATCAATTTCAAACACAACCCATGTATTCATAAACAGTTAACTACTTTCAGCAAAGGCTGCTATAGATTAGTCTCGACTGTTTGTACCCAGAAAATCTTCACTATATTTCAGGCGGGAGTATTTCTGATTTACTATAGTAAAAAAAAAAAGGAGGGCTCAATCAAGAACCGGAAGAACTCCAACTTAATGCAGCTTACCATAAAAAAATTATCAATACAACATGTTGGCTAATCAAACTTTAAGTGATGCCAAGATGAGAATGCATCAAATTAGAAACACTGGGAATAAACAAAGAGTAAATACAAGGGCATCATCGCCGGAAAGCATTGCCTTGTTCTGACCTTCCCTGCGAATAATGAGTTCGGCGACGGACACTCTCTGCAATTGATGAGCTGCCCCCCTCTTCAGCACCATACACATTTTTTTGAGCAGCATCCAAGAAATTTTTGCCCTTAGATATGGCGTCACGGCTAGCTTGCCTTGCATCATCCACTTCAGCCTTCTTCAACCGTTTCCATCTTTGCTCTTCATGGACCTCGGCATCCATTTGCATCTCACGTAGCCTAGCAGCTCGCTCTTCTTCCGAAAGTTTAGGAGCAACATTGCGTCGCCTATAGTGGGATTCACTACGATCTTCTGTAGGATATTTTTCCTTCTCTGACCTGTCATTGTTTCCCTTGACAAAATGTCGACTGTCTTTCACAGTTTCTGGACCCGATTGGCCACCAAGTGAATGCTCCTTGTACTTCGAGCTCCGATACCCATTCCTCTCACTTCGACTTGATTTTCTACGTGATTCATCTTCTGAATCTGAATGCTTATCATGGTTTGAGCTCTTCCTGCTCTTCCTCCTTTCCTCTTCTGAATCTGAATGCTTATCATGGTTTGCGCTCTTCCTGCTCTTCCTCCTTTCCTCTTCTTTGCCAGATGATGAATGCTTTTGATGCTTTGAACTACTATCACGGTGCTTCTTTCGATGTTCCTTTTCATCACGAGACTTCTTGCCCTTTCCCTCAACCTATAATCAGCAAGACAAAACAGTTTTAGTTTAGAGAAGACATTGAAAATGGCACATTCATCAAACTAACTGTCAAGCAACATACATCAAAAAATTTATTCGGACAATCTTATTACATAATCAAACAATTTGGGGAACTACTATTGACACAAAATAGTCTGATTTAGGATAGCTCAAAACTTTTATCGTGAGAAAATCTGTTGACTGGCTCGTTTGCAGCTAAGCTTAATATCTTTGATTAGAATTACAAAGAAAGTATTGAAGGAAAAAAGAGAGTACTAAAATGAAAAACATTAAGAGAAATGATAAGTCTAAGTTCAAAAAGTAATGATTGAATATAATGGATAAATATTAAAAGCAGAGTAGGTAACCATAGTGCACGGAATAGAGATATTTTCAGAAACTGAGTGATGAGTGCAAGTATTGACATTGAGTACACAAGAAACCTATCAGCTTTGGCAACATGTACACAATCTATCTTGCAGCCATCATTTCTGGATAATATTTAATATGGAGAGCTACACAGGGACATGGGTCTGAATCTCGAACAATTCAGACCCCTTATCTCATTTTTGAAATGCCACCTATCCCCTTCCACTGCCTCAACCAGACGGTTAATTAATAAAAGAATCGTATTTGCTCAAAAACATCATTCTTCAAGGTCTCATCTAACATCTATAATGTCAAACATCCTCACTTTCTATTTAACTAAGTTTTAAATCTTTAGGCCGTGTTCATTTTGCTCGTTCAAGTTAAAAAGTGAATTCATGTGAGAGAAAATACTGTAGTAACAAAAATTGAATTTGAACTTTTGTGAGAGGGGACACTATAACAAGAATTTGAGTTGTGATTCGAACTAAGCCTTAAAAAAGGTTAGAGCTTTTGTGTTCTACAGTGACACCAAGTTCCTCCTCCAGCCAGGTGATCAAGACATTTAAAGTTCTCCATCGGAGCCTAACTTTATCCTCTCCTTAAGCATTTCTGCTCTCCCATACTCAACTTGAAAAAAAAAAGAAATTAGAAAAAATAGAAAAAAAAAAGTCCTACTTCTTGTTGTGCAAACTTGCACATTTTGGTAAAGAACTTACAGATTTGCGAATCCTAGCCATCTGAACTGGGTTGTTCTTGATTCTGGCCAATGCATCCTGCTCGCGCTGCCGAATCATTAGTAACGGATCGGAATGGAGCTTCCTCCAAGCATCGTTGGCAGACTGAGGCTTCTCTTCGAACAGAGCTCCCGGCACAGCCGACGAAGACGCTGCTTGCTATCAACAAACAAACGAACGAACGAACGAAAATTAATAATAATTTATAACCTAGATCCAAAAAATTGGGAAAATTGAGCGAAAAAAGAAATCAAGAATACGAGAGTCGAAAAAGACATTGGAGGCTGCAGAGGCAGAGGAGGAAGGCGCGTCGCCGGGCTTGGGAAAGGCTTCAAGGGCTTTGAAACCTTCGGAAGCGCTTGCCTTTCCTACGGCCAGACCCGATTCGTACAGGAAATCCAATCTCTCCTGCTTACTGTAATCAAGCAATCAGCAAAATTGATGAATTAAACGATAAATCGAATAGAATCGAATTCAAAGCAAAGCAAAGCAAAACCCTAACCCTAACTCTAATAGAGAAGGAAAACGTACGGGACGAGGCCGGCCTGTTCCTGGAGTTGACGGAACTCGGCGCGCTCCTTCTCCTCCAGAATCTGCTTGCGGAGCTCCTCCAACTTCTTCTGTTCGGCCTCGTGCTTCTGCTCCGCCTTCCACACGTTCTCTATGTTCCTCAGACTCCCCGTGTGCCATCCCTTCTTGTTCAAGAACTTCAACGCCATTCTTCTTCTTCTTCACTGATTTATTATTTCTCCTTTGCGATTCTTCTTCTTCAGAGCAACAGGAGGAGCGAAATCCCTTGGATCAACGACTAATTTCTCTCTCGCGCCTTTTCTTCAGTTTTCTATCTCTCTATCTCTCGAGAAAATTTGATAAGAGACCGGAGAACAATCGAGAATGTAGACTATTTTTTTTATAACAAAAAAACTTTAATGTGTATCTTACTTGTTAAAAAATAGGTCCTACGGCTTATTTCAAAAAAACTCTCCCTCACAAACCGACCTTACGACCGACCGACCCTCACGACCAACTCTTTCATCAGTTTTTTTTCTCCGATCTCTCACCGACCTTCACCACCGAGTTTCAATTACCGGTTTTTCTCTCCGATCTCTCACTAACCCTCACGACCGACCCTCACCACCGAGTTCCTCTCACCGGTTTCTCTCTCGCCGACTTTCTCTCGTCGGCTGATCCTCTCTCTCCGATCTCTCTCACCAACTCTCTCGTCGGCCGATCCTCTCCGATTTCTCTTGCCGGCCGACCCTCTCTCGCCGACTTTCTCTCGCCGACAAAACCGACCCTCTCTCGCCGACGACCGACCACCCCCTTCACCAAAAAGCGACCACTCTTCTCACTAAAAACTGACCCTGACCACCCTTCTCACTAAAAACTGATAAAAACCAACCCCGACCACCATTCTCACCAAAAACCGACCCCCCTTCACAAAAAACCGACCACCCTTCTCACTAAAAACTGACCAAAAACCGACCCCGACCACCCTTATCACTAAAAACTAACCAAAAACCGACCACCATTCTCACTAAAAACTAACCAAAAATTGACCCCGACCACCCTTCTCACTAAAAACTGACCAAAAATTGACCCCGACCACCTTTCTCACTAAAAATCGACCAAAAACTGACCCCCATCACAAAACAGCTCTTATTCCTCAACTAAGACGGCAATTTCCCGAACCTCTGTCGACGAGGCAACAGAATCTGCTCATGTAACATTAAGGTTTTATTCTCTGATTTAAAATTAAGGTTTTATTCTTGTTTTACTTTTTTTTTATACATTTTTGTAAGAACAAAAACTTAATATAAGAAAGCAAGAATTGCATACATTCTTGTGTGGTATGTTCGTAGTCGGTTTTGGTTCTTCTGTGGTCTGTTCGTAGTCGGTTCTAGGTCGATCTTAAGTCGGTTCTAGGTTGGTCGGTTCTAGGTTGGTCGGTTCTTAGTCGGTTCTAGGTCGGTTCTTAGTTGGTTTTAGGGTTGGATCGGTTTTAGGTCGGTTCGGGGTCAGTTCGGGTCTGTTCTATGTTGGGTCAGTTTTATTCGGTTTGGTCAGTTCTATGTCGTTCTGTCAGTTCTAGTTCGTGCACTGTCGTTTCTGATCGGTTTAGTCTGGTTGGCTCAGTTCTAGGTCGGTTCTAGTATGGTCTGTTTGGGCACGATCGGTTCTAGGTTGTTTCAAGGTCGGTTCGGTCGGTTCTAGTCTTTTCTGTCTTTTCAAGGTTCTAGTTGGTCGAATCTGGTTTGTTTTTATGGTTTTAGGTCGGTTCTGGTTGGTTGTGTCGTTTTGATCGGTTATGTCGTTTTGGTCGGTTCTGACCGATGTATTTTTTTTTCTCATAATGACCTCCCGAAGTACAACACATATGAACTTCCTGGGATTGGACAGCTAAGAATGATCATGGATCCTATGTAGGAGTACTTCCCAGTGAAAATCACTATGAAGTCAAAGATGGAGGCCCTGGAGGTAATAAGGTAGAATTTAGACCCTAAAACGGAAATGTCAATTTTCAAGGGGTCTTCCTTAGGACATTTGATTTCAATGTCTGAAAATATGATATATTTTGGAGTGTTGACACACTATCTGCTTTTGAGGTAGATAGAAACAGAAAAGGAACATGAGTTGTGGTTCATGGTTAATGGAAAAGCCAACTCGGTTCGGAAAGATGGATTTTGCTTTAATCACTGGATTGAACTGCAGGGAAATCCCAGAGCCAGACGTGGTGTTGAAAGCTTCGAAGAACATAAGATTGTTGGAGCATTTTAAGGCTCAAGTAGTACTTGTTGCTGATTTAAAGAAATTGCTTACAGAGAACAAGATAAAAGGTAATGATAAAGCAAAAATCGTTATCATTTACTTTTTAGCACAAGTATTACTATCTGGGGACGAGAAGAAGACCGTCCCACTGGATTGGCTGTCGTACGTCGACCATTTAGACTTCTTTAACAGCTATCCATGGGGCAAGGTGTCTTTTGAATGCACTTTGCGGTCTTTGAGGAAGAACCTGAAAGAGAAATTTCAGAAATGGGTTCAGAAAGGACGTAATAAGAGCATCAAGGAAACCTACTCAATATGCGGGTTTCCTTGGGCCTTCCAGGTATGTCGTACAGTTATATGCATAATTTTTAATCATGATCTTATAGTAAATAATACATAGTTTTTTATTTTACTAGTCTTAAAAAAATTTATTTAACGCAGGTTTGGACATTCGAAACTTTTCTAACCATCGGCGCCACGTTTGTAAAGATGGTTGATGGACGTCTTCTCAGAATCCTCAAATGGGAGGCACGCCGGGTTTCATTGGTCAATATTGGACAGATAGACGACCTTATGCAAAGTGGCGAGGTAAGGGTTTGAATACAATATGTTTATAGGTATTTTTTTTACAAAGTAAGCATATTTGTTTTTTTTTACAATATGTTTCCACCTAAATAATCATTGAATGTATGTTCTTTTAATATACAGGGATTGGTCGTACCATTTCTTTATCCCACTAAGGAGGAAATGAGTAGTATGTGCATGAAGTTGTATCTGCCTTATGCCGACCAAAAAGATGCATAGATTGACCAGCTTGCATCATTTTTGGACTATGGTGCAAGAGTGGTCCATGTCCAGCAACCGAAGCCTACCAAACAATATTCTCGTCTCCAACAACTTTCCCAACAACAACAACAAAAAAGACAACAACAACAACAACAACAACCTCGTCCCCATGATGGTATGTCTATTGATTACATACTTGACATACTCTATCAGAGGATGGTAGAGTACAATGGTAGACATTTTGAAGTCATCAACAAGAGGTTAGACTCACTAGACCATTATACTTGCGGATTACAAACATGTTTGATAGTCTCAGTTTGCAGGCCCGGATACGTCACACACACTTTGGATCCACACACTCTACTACAAGCACGTCTTTATTTAATTTTGTTGTTCGAAACTCAAACTTCCCCTTTAAAGCTATTAAATGCAGCTTTTCCTTCAAATCATTCTTACTTGTAAAGTACTGACCAACTTCTAAACTAGATCCATCACTGAAGGTAGATCCATGAGATGATCCAAACCCAATCTGGTCGATACAACCTAAAGGACCAGTAACTTCTACTTCATTTAAAATGGCAAGTGGTTGTAGCTCTAGCTGTGGCTGTGACTCTGGTTGTGGTTGCGACTGTGGTGGAATATCATTACAAGTCAAAAACTCATCTATAGCTACAATACCCATAAAATCACGATAAAAAACCTAATTTTGACTCCATCAATATGTTCTTCTAGATTAATAAACTTCTCATCCACTATCACATGTAGTGGTACCTCGTGGGCTATATCCCTGAAGAATAACAAATCATCATTGTCTTTTATTACAATGGGCAACGATTTCTGTTTCAAATTCGCTACCCACGATAACTGCAAGGAATGTTTTTGTCCATCAATTCCACATTTTCTATAAATCTTATCAACGAAGGTTTCAAGAGTATCCTTCTCATCCATATATACGCCAATCAAATTAGAGTCTGTATGCCACACCCAACAACTTTCATTCTCCTCCCATTTTCCTCCAATGTCAAAAAAAAATCTTCCACTGAGGCATTTTTTAGATTTTAAAACTGCAAAAATTTAATCAAGATAATAATATGTCATTAAACCAAACCAAATATACCACGAACAGACCAAGTATAGACCATATAATAAGAACATACCAAGAACATAGTACTATATAATAAGAACAACCCAAGAACAGACCAAGAACTGACTGTGCAATAAGAACAGACTAAAAATCGACCGTGCAATAAGAACAAACTAAGAACCGATCGTGCAATAAGAACATACCAAGAACAGACCACGAACCGACCATGTAATGAGAACAGACCACGAACCGACCATGTATAAGAACAGACCAAGAACATACTAAGAATAAACCACGAACCGACCATGTTATAAGAACAGACCACGAACTGACCATGTTATAAGAACAAACCAAGAACAAACATTTTTTTTTTCTAAATCCAGCAGATCTTCATCATATGAGACAATGTAAACTGGTATTTTACCATGTAAAATTACTATTTTAATGAATTTTTAACATTTTTAACTACATTCTCATCTTAAAAACATATGAACAACAACAAAAACACCATGAGAGATATAGAAAAAGAAAGATTTACTTAGTAGCTCTTCTTCAAACTTCGTTTTGGACGAGAAAAAAACGCTGAATGGGCAAGATAATAATGTTAATGAGGTTGTGCGATGACAATGACTTGAGAAGAAGAGAGAAGAAATGGAAGGCAGCTGGAAGAAGAAAATTGCGCGAAATGGAAGAAGATGAGGAGAAAGAAACCCCTAAAAACATAATTGATGACGTGGAATAACTGACGTAGAAGTTGACCTATTTATTTAATTTATTTTTTTGTGATTTATTTACTTAAAAATATTTTTTACTTAATCTATTTATCCAAACAGTCCTATCTCCCTGTTTTTTATTTTTTTTTCCCTTTCCCCTACTAGTGGCGGCTGCAACACGCGCGTGGGGCCGTCGCGTGCGCCTTCATTTCCAGGTATGACATCGTATAAATAGAAACGACATGTCATCGGGAGGAAAAAAAAAAAAAAAAAGAAACCGATGTCTTTGCCGTATATGTTAAAACGACCCGTAAAATTTTATGATAATGTAAATGTTGTCGTTATCTTTTTAAAACGACACGTCTTCAAAGTGGACATTCGTGGAGTGGCTGGACAACGCTCTCTTTCTTCTCAGCTAATCCAAAGCCCATCCATAGTTCATAAATCGAATGCATCAGGCTCCACCTTCAGCACATAAACAACTGGTCCTACGATTAATCCATCCATTCCTAACCATTGGATGATTCTTGTAGGAAATCGTATGGTGTTTGTAGTTGAATTCCCTTAAACGACACGTCGTTTTCAATTTAAAATGACGCAGTTATTGTCTATTTTACCTTGAAAATGTCGTTTAATATTAACTGTCATTTTAAAGTGTAAAGTTTGCTGTTTTCTTTTTAATATATATGAGAGAGAAGTTTTTCAAATGAGAATTCACTAGTTTGGAGTTTGTTCCCATTTTCATTTAAACTGCGCGTCGTTTTCCCCTTGTAAAGGTCGTCTAATTTTAACTGTCGTTCACATACAATGAGTGACGCCGCACACTCGAATTTGTATTTCGTTTTAGTTAAAATATTTGTCCTTTAGGTCAAGCTAACGGCGACATGCACTTCCTTTTTCATGTCAAAATGGAAAATGAAATCGCAGTGCTAAAAAATACGATAAAGCCGACTGACGTTGAACGAGGGCTATGAAGTATGTTGTCGCTTATACATGTCATTTTAATTTTACTGCTGCACAAAATTTGGAAAATGGAAAAAATTATTTGAACTTTCAGATTTCTGCTACGTAATCTAACTTGGATGTCGTTTATGCGCTCGTGAAGAAAATGCTCCAATGATGGACTTATTTGTGCGGGTTTTGTTTTCCTTTAACAATAAAGAAATCACAACTTTACTTCATGAGAAAGGAAAAAGAACCAAAGAATACAAATGAATACTTGTTTACAATAGTATCAAAAAACTCTCTTTATGGTTGGGATGCTGCTAAAGCAAAGCTCCTATGCAATTGCATAATCTGCCCCCTTAAACTGCACTCGTCCACCTGAAAGAGCAGAGGAATCTTCATAAGATAAAATCTTGTTTTAGATTTGAAGAAAGACCACTATGATAAGCATGACGGACTTCACAAAAAAACTTAAATGCATTATCAATATAGGAGCGTTGTTGTAGTCAAACCTGTGATGCACATGTTGTAGTCAGAAGATCTCCACATTCTTCAACAAGAGCTCTTTCTCCACCAACTATTTTGGCAAGTTCTGACATCAAAATCTCTGTTTCTTCTGCCTGAAAATAGCGAGCAAAAACAAAAGGATGCGTAACAGTTCTATGATACAAGGCATCTCATAAGTATAGTTGTAGTGTTGCCAAACTCTATATTATGTCATAAGTTATAAGCAGAACCATTCCATTTCACTTGCTTCCACAACAAAAACCAGCCAAGCGATCAGAGTGTAGAACTGTCTACAAATTACATTTCTAGTGATCTAATAATGTTATTAGGTTAGTCTAATTTCTCAAATGTGCTGCCTTACGTTAGTGTCTACATGATATGTTCCATTTGTATAAACCACCATTGAACAATCATACCTTTGGCATAAGATGTTTAACATGAGAAACTGTTGTCTCCATCACTTTCGTTGCCGAGTTCAGGGCCTCCTGTAACTCTTTTATATCAACCTACACAGTGTGTATTTCATGGTCAATGCCCTAAATTGAAGATTTGTTCAGTCCTAGAACACTCGGAATAATAAAGAAAACATACCCTAACATTCCCTCCCATTGGAAGTTGAATAGAGGCATTCAACAAAGCTTGAATTGATTCAGCTAGAGAAATTGAATAATCTCCCTCGAGAGTTGACCATTGATCCAAGTGTGGAACCTGAAATGAGGCCAATATTATCAGTTCAAGGACAAATTGAATATCTCTATATTAGATTAGTTAGGTAAGGATATTTTTTGGCTTTACCTGTGCTTCAAGAATTGCGGATACAGCTTTTGTTCTTCGCAAAATCCCAAGTTCTATCCGCTTCCTCGTCACTGAATCATATAGTTCTGATATGCTTACCCTGAGAGAATTAACTTTTGTCTACAATAAAAAAAAAAAGATTATTGGTTACCAAATTAATTTTAAAGGAAAAAAAAAAAAAACGATTTCTCTGCTCTTTTTTTTTTTTTTTTTTTTTTTCAGTTTTGAAGTTCCCAAGTGTAATATGAGAAAATTACGAAAGTTCATAGAATGAGGATTATAACTAGTATCAATGAGATCTTCTTAAAGATTTTACTACTTTAACTTAGAATCACAGTTTTGATATGTTTGTCTGCTTTGACTTTTGGAATAAAAGTACCAACCTTCGCAATTGCAATATTATGAGATTTCTCATTTAGAAACTTCTACTTGTCCCAATTGAACACAAAATTATTCGGCTGGAAAAAAGTATATAAAACAACTAACCTGAGCTTCTCTTTGCTGAGCTTGCACGGAAGCCTCTGCTCTTGCGTTGGCGAATCTCCACTGCAGATACCGGTTGTGTAGCAGTTTCAAGGAATGGATATCTTCCGGCTGACGGGAAACTTTCTTCGCCTTCCTCATCTCCGTTCCGGGCTTTGCATTCACACATGGCGGGACCGGTGGCAGACAGAGTCCCCCCATCTTTGCAAGGCTCACGCAAGACTTAAAGACAGCATTTGCCGGTTTCTCGCCGCCATCTGTTGCCGAATTGAACGGGGAATTAAGATACCGGGAGGAAGGAAAAGTAGAGAGCTTCAAAGAATCGGAACCGGCCGTGGTGCTTCCATGACCACCACCACCTCTGATGGAATTTCTCGGTCGGCCGGAGACGGTCGGCAACATATCGGTCTCCGGCATGGGAGAGCGCAAATCCGGTAATGACTGCGTGGAGCAGCTCAGATGATCACGATTTCCGTCAACCGAATTTCGATCTTGAGATGAACTCTGAGTAGCTTGATCAGTGGATTGAGAAGGCAACGACATGACGCTAGACTGCAAGAGCTTAGCCGCAGCTGAGGAAGTCATATTGTGAGACCTCTGCTGCATCAGTCTGAATCTCGCTGTCGATGATGACGATATCGTCCGGTCCAAACTAGCGGACAACATCGGTGTGTCGGGCCTCGACGGCGTAGCAAAAGCGCCGCCTTTTCCGTGGCCGGTCTTCTGTAAAATCTGTCTATTTCCGACGTTCTCCTTCTGTAGCTTTACAGATCGTTGTCTCCGGAGAGTAGAAGGGGGCACCTGTTCGAAGAAAAATGAATTTTCCGAGCTCTGAATCTGCACCGGAGGCTCGTCGACGGGCCTATTGTTCTCGTCGGAACAGGACAAGGGTTCCATATCCAGTTGCCGGCGCCGCCTATCGACAGAGGAAGATCGTTGCCTGGATTTATGTTCCGCGGGATTCGGAGTGGGAGATAAGCCAAGATAGGGTTTGTGAAGGGGCGATTTGGGGGGAAAGAGATCGCCGGAGGTTAAAGACGAGGAAGAGGAAACTGCAGGAGACATGAATCGAGAGCTCACTTCCCTGACTCTCGGTCGCCGGGGATGAGCAGGCGGCGGCTGAGGAGGAAGCGGAGGAGCGGAAGCTTCTAATTCCGCCGCCGGTTCGGTTGTGGATGCGCAATGTTCCGCCATTAAGTCGCCCATGATCGGTGAATTTTCAACGAAACTGGAGGATGATTCGAGATTCTAATCAGTTTTGATCGGAAAATTTGGATGAAAAGCGAAACCCTTAGCCCAAACCAAGACGGAGGATCCTCAAAGAGAAGAAGGCAATGTGGAATTGGCCTGTTTGGTTGGGGGGGTGAGAGTAGGAAGGGAGCGACAGGAACAAATAAACTAGCCGTTGGATATTGGGGAATGTCAAGTTGTAACGGTTCTTTTTCTTTTTAAAAGTACAGGGACACGTGTCATTGGTTTACGCCCCAACAGAGCCAACACCCAATTAAAGGAAAATAATGCTATTATTATCCTCTAAATCTAATCGATTACCGTAATAATGTACTCCGAGTATTCTATGTTAAGGAAAGAACGGAAAAAATAAATAAATAATAAATAAATAAAGTTATCATTTTTTTTAATATAACACTAAATTGAACCCACAACTCTGTAATCAAATTTCATGCCACTAGATGAAGAGGTAAGGTAATCTTAACTAATACTTTTTTGAAAATGTATGAGGTCAAAATTTTTACTCTTTATTCTTAATTTATAATTTTTTTAAGTAAATAATTATACTAATAAAAAAATATTTATTAAAAATAAGTGATAAAAATTCAGATATATTGTTAGGGGTAAATTCTCTAATTTTGTAAGAGGGGGAGTTAACCCCAGGAAAGCTCCAAGTTTCGCTACTGAAAAGAATCTTTGGTAATCCTTTTGCCAAAAGAAAACCATGTTTCATGTTCCTGTTCACGAGCATGCAGAGAATTAGAATGCAACGGTCCACATTTTACCTTGCTGGGGTACACATGAACAGAATCCAAGCCCAAAAATTCCCTCTAAACGAAACGGGCTTTCATAGGGGGCTAGAGCCTTTTATGATGGAACATTGAGGGAGGTAGTCTTTTTTTTATCATTTTTTTATCATTTTTTTAATGAGAGAAATAGACGAAACTAGCATGGAATAAAAATTACGGAAATAATAAAAAATAGGTAAATATAAAAAGTTTAAGGAAGTATATAGGTCAATTTTTAATTATAAAAATTAATATGTCATAACTTGTTAAGTTATAGTTCATAATCAGATAAGTTATGGATAAATTTGTCAAGTTATGGTTCATAGCCAGACAAGTTATGAACAAAAATCGTGATTTATGAACAATAACTTGTCAAGTTATAGTTCATAACTAGATAAGTTATGGACGAAAACAGTAATTTAACTTATTTATTAACTTATATAAACTATTTACTTATTAATTTTAATTCATCTCAAATCTTAACCTATTTTTCTCTTTCTCTCTAAAAATTAATAGACCAAGTTAAAAAAAAAAGTTAGTAAATAGGTCAATTAGTTGTAAATTCAGATTTATTAATTAAATGAATTACAAAAATATCCTCAATTTGGAAACCCAAACTCACACGTTTCTCTCCTCCTTCCCTACTCTTCTCTCTCCTCTCTCTTTCTCTCTCTACACGTCTTCTGCAGATCGGCACCTCTCTCGGTCCCACTGGGATCGTTTCTATCTCTGTCTTGCTCCTCTATGTTCCTGCTTCAACGAGAATGTCGCCGTCGCGAGATCAAGGGGAGAGGTGCTCACGTGAGATCGTTCCTCTCTCACCTCTGTCACCATCGCCGTCACGTTTCTCTGTCGCGAGATCGTTCCTCTCTCTCACGTCGCTAGGAAGTGCAGAGGTGCCTCAGATCTGACGACGAACGAAATTGCGAGAGTCGCAATCTCCTTCTACGGAGTTCTCGGTACAGGCATGAAGAGAGAGAGAGAGAGAGTGGGCGGGAGAGAGAGAGGGTGAGTGTGTTCAGTGGAGGAGGGAGGCTCTGGTTGGTTGCAGAGACAGAACAGAGAAAAGAGATAAAAAGATAAATAAAATTATTCATTTCACGGATTCAATTTAGAATTCGAGTTTTATTATAATAAAAAATTTAAAAAAATAATCACATTTAATTTTTTTACTACAGTAAATTTTTTTTACATAAAATTACATTTCAGTTCAAATTAAAAATTTAAATTAGTGAACTAAACGGATCATAAAAATTAAAAACTGATAAAATGAGAAAGAAAAATATTCAAAACTTTAAATGGACTATTAATTTTAATGTTTGATAAATAGGCTATTAACTTCTGTAAGTTTTATAAGTTAGCTTATTTATTACAATTTTTTTTTCCGGATAATATTAATAAATGATAATTTTTTTTTTCGCTAGATGGACCTCCCTCCCGATGATTTAATATATTCACGTTGAATTTATGGAATTTATCCTATGATTAAATTTGATAAATTCATGAGTTGGTAAATTTAAGATTTTCTTCCGAT